ATTATTGTTGAGGATCCGTTTAGGGAAAAGCCAATGAATTCGGGAAATCCAAAACAAGACTACATGACTGATAGGCAAGTGGAATTGATTAGCGTACATTTAAAGAAAACCCTTGAGTACTTAGTCAACCAAGTGTTTGAAACGGCTAAGGAATCGGCAAGATTAGCAGGTTCTACAGAACCTTATTTGAACGAGCCATTAAAGGTGAGATGGGTGGAAGCATATTTCCCATGGACATCGCCATCGTGGGAGATCGAAGTATGGTGGAAAGGTGAGTGGTTAGAGTGCTGTGGATGTGGGCTAGTCCAACAACAGGTGTTGCTTAATTCAGGATTAGGAAATGACAAACTAGGATGGGCTTTTGGTGTTGGTCTTGATAGAATCGCTATGTTGTTATTCGGCATTCCCGATATTAGACTTTTCTGGACTTTAGATGAGAGGTTCAGTAATCAGTTTGAAATGGGAAAAATTGCTACTTTCAGGCCATACTCTAAATTTCCAGGTATCAAAAGAGATGTATCATTTTGGCTTCCAAGTGAATCATTATTGCATGTCAACGATGTTATGGAAATTGTTCGTACCCACGGTAATGACTTAATAGAGAATGTAACTAGTATTGATGAGTTTGTTCATCCAAAAACAGGTAAAAGATCCCAATGCTACAGAATTAACTATCAATCTATGGATAGAAACTTGACTAACGAAGAAATCAACGAGATACATAAAAAGGTTGAAGATGATTTAATTACTTATTTCAATGTTACAATCCGTTAGTTAGAAGTAACTTAGTATTTCTTGTATATAAATTTAATTGATGAGGTTTTGTGTAATTTTGAAAGACACAATTTTTTTTGAAAATTGATCAAAATCCGACAGACAATCCAGAACAACTTGTAAACCTATCGATTTGTATTCGTTTCTTATTAAATCCTAGAAGGAAAACTTGAAATGTTAGGACTTGGAAGATCTTTGTTTTCTTCCATCAAGACAGGTACGCCATCTATTGGTTTAAGCGCTTTCAAGCCTAGTATAAATAATTCATTCTTGCTCAACAGCGTAAGACATAAACATGAATATGCACCAAGATTCAAAAGAATCAGAAAAGCATTCAAAGGTAGAGTTAGTGTTAAAACCGGGGGATCAGTAAAGGGTAACTCTTTGGAATTTGGTGAATACGGTTTAAGATTAAAATCCAATGGTATCCGTATGACGGCTACTCAGTTACAAGAAGCTGACAAAGTTATTAAAAGAGAAATTAGACCTTCAAATGGTCAGCTAATTACGAGATTTGTGTGTAATACACCTGTCTGTATTAAAGGTAATCAGACAAGAATGGGTAAAGGTAAGGGTGCATTTTCTCATTGGGCATGTCGTGTTACCACTGGTAAAGTCTTATTCGAGATAAAGGGAAATGTACACGAAAAGGTTGCGAAGGAAGCATTGAGAAAAGCATCTGATAAATTACCTGGCTTGTTTGAAATCATCAACAAAGACTCCAAGGTCAGAGTAAGTATTAATCATTGTATTGATAAGCCGGAAAAAATCAACTACGTTGAAGAATTAAACAAGAATCCAACACGTAAGTGGACCAATATTCAAACTGCTAAAGATCCAATGTTTCAAATGTTTAGAGGACGTTAAATAGACAGATGACCATTGCTTTCCTTAAATATTGAAGAAAATACACTTGTAAATATTATTATTATATATTTTTATTCAAATATATAGTCGACATAACCTATTGGCTGTAGTTCAACCTAAATTGATTTGATTTTTATTCTGAGCCTTATGAAATCAACGTTTCTCGTCGATTACGAAGCGTATATATATATATGTACATTTGCGCATTTAAGTTATATTATCTTATATTTCATGTTTAGTAAACAAACATATCTATGACTGCCCTGAAGGATTCAACCAAATATATTGGTAATTCTTTAAATGTTTTATCTAGACTAGTTGAATCTGATACCGAGATTTCTACAATAGATTTAAATATTATTGAGAATCTAAATACAAATCAGTCTTTAAATTACATAAAGCTAGAACAGCAGCTCAACAAATTAGAAAATAATGCTCATAGCTTAGAAGATTTAAGTAAGTTTTGAGTTCATATGTCATTCCGCTAGAATCCATTAGATCCTACTTTTAATCATTTGACATTCGTTATACCTGACATTATCTAGTTTGATACTAACAATCTCACAGACAATGAATTTAAATCGTTCACTACAATGTTGCTGGAAATCGAAAATCAAATAGAAAAAATTGAAAATATAACAAAGGAAATAGATAATTGGTCTAAAGAATTATCATCAAAGGTTAAAAAACTCTGATATAATAGAGTATGCTGCAGCCAACTGCTTAAATTGATATTACTCAATTGGTGCTCAGGAATATTCCTCACAATATTCATTTCTTTCTGATATTATGCATTCTATTTACTACTAACATAACATTTATTACATATTCTGGAATATGAATCAATATACTACATCATAATCATCATACTCAGTACTATAGATGAAGTAATGCTTAATAGGAATGTGATAAAGTCTATAATCATTCCTGTAATGCTTTCAATCTTTCTCTCATTTCATCTAATGCTTCGTGATCAACATCATCTTCTAACTGAATATCATTCGCTTTAGGTTCTTCCAATTCTGAAGGCATATTACTTGTAGGAACTTCATTATCAATTTTAGAGAATTTGTCTTCAGTCAAACTTTGAATAATCTTGTTTACTTCATCTTGCGATTCGCTTTCTAATTCGTCATCCTCAACATCCAAATCCACCATATCCTCCATCATTTCATTGATAACACCTGCTTTCATTAACTCTTTCAGTAATTCTTGCATCGTCCCCAGGATTGCACCTATGCTGACTAGTTGATTAACATCTTTCATAACTCCAGTCAGTAGCTGTAAAGATGAAGTGAGCTTATTCATAGACCATTGTTCATTGATAGACATGGTTATCGAATCTATTCGTGTCTTAGAAAGATATAATTTATTGTATTGACGATTAATACCAATCAATTCCCTAGCATATATTTTTGCTGATTTATAGTCCTTGTCCTTAGCCGATTTCTTGATCAAGGCTTCAGTTTTCTTCTTTAAAGGTTGTAACTGATTCATTGACCGATCTAACTCTCGTTTATTTTTACGAAGTAATTGGTTTATTTTCCTCATCTAAGTTTATGTTAGTATCATTTAGTTGCATTTGACCCCACAATTCTAAATAATGAAAAAATTAAACGTATCCACATACTTGTTCCTTAGGATCAGGTCCCCATATTGCCTTCTTTATATAATCCATGGTTATTCATATATTATTCAACAATGTAGTTATCTTCAAGAAGTAATTATTTCTTCGATACTAGAATGCGAATTTAAGGAGCTTAGTAAAAAACGAGATATAAATAATTTTTAATTTAATCCCTTATTTATAAAGATGCCTAGGTATGAAGAAGATAATGTGCCTAACTATGCACAGACTATACTCTTGATAGTTTTGTCGTTCATAATTCCCCCTGTTCCCATAATTATGCTTTCGAATAACTCCATATTCACCAAAGAATGTCTTATATCAGTTATCTTAACTTTGCTAGGACATATTCCTGGTGTCGTCTTTAGTTTATACTACGTTCTTATTGAATACCCAAAAAGAATCACCAGACGTTCTGGAAGAGATGGTTATATAAGAATTGGAGATGACGATGAGATAAGACCTACCCTGGTAGTTGATAGTAACCCATATGCTCAAGAGCAGGAAAGACAGGGGTCCCTGTTGGATATTCCACAAAATGAATCTGAATCTTTGCATCCACCACCTCCAGATTATGAAGAAATAGCTGGAGGAAGTAATGGCCAGAAAGATAGTAAACTGGCTGGTGATAATAAAGTGCAATATTGAGTCTTATGTTTAATTATTTGTTTCCTTTCTATATCTACTTATTTTGGTAGTTCATATTTACGTAATAATCATCAATGATATACTCTTTACTATTGTTTTTCTAATGCAACCATCGATTTAGCGACAAATCCCTCCAAATGAAATATACTCTTCTGCCCTAAACTCAAACGTTCATCGAATACTGCGCCGATCTCAACTAGACTTTGAGTTATGGCTGCATTGCTGTTAGATACTTCAATTAAGTTAAATAAAAGCTTCTTTAAAATGATTCTAGGAGGAATACAATGGGATAACAATTCGTAAAACACCACTCTTACTTTGGCTAAATTAGCAACTGTCCTATTTGATACAATGGATTTAGCCAAATTTTGAATAATTACTTCCCAGTCCAATGCAATCACCGCCAGGTCTGTATTATTAATTGCAATCAGTTCTCCTTGCATCAGAATCGTTTCAAAACATAATAAAGCTTTTCTCAAGTTACGTTCTGAGCTTTTCGATACTTTGTTGAAGAATTCTTGCTTCTTTGTTTCATTATGAGGATTAAACTTAACTGACTCTTTATCGGCTATGCATAACAAGATATTGCTGATTTCTTGATCAGATGGTGCAGGTATTCTCACTAGTAATGTTCTTGACTTAATAGGCGATATAATATTTGATGTCGTATTACATATCATAATTATTCTGATATTAGCTGAGTATTTCTCCATTGTTCTTCTCAACGCTGCTTGTGCATCTCTACTTAATGAGTCTGCTTCATTTATAATAACAACCTTAAATCTATGCTTTGATGCAGACTTAGATTGGTTACTAAAATCTACTTGTTCTGTTGATGCAACATCTTTCAATAAATCTTGAATGACAACTCTGTCATTGTTTCCCATATCAGAAGGTGTGATCTCTAAATGATAAGGTGAACTCAAAACATTAAACTCTAATTTTCTATTAGAAGAGGTAGTAAATACCTTTACATCAATTTTCAATTTCTCTACTTGTGGTCCAAATAATTCATGTAAAGTACAATAAATTCTTGTTTTCTTACCACTGCCTGGAGGTCCATAAACTAACAAATGTGGAAAATCACCTGTGCTTGCCAAAGCAGCTAGATTTTGCGTAATTGACTCATGATATGACAATTGCTTTAAATTTTTAGGTCTATATTTATCTACCCACAACGACATACTGCTTTAGATTCTCTATTTCTTCTAGTTTACTAAAGGCCACACCCAAAGAATTAAGCATCTATTGGAAATTTTGACGCGTATATAAAAATATTATATACAGGATGCAATCAAGGAACGAAGTCCATTGCAAGTTCAGCTCCTTCGTTTTCTGTCATAACTAAATATTATTCATATTATACAATGTATTAAATGTATTAATTGTGTCATAAGGTAGATTGACTAAACAGGTAATAGAAAATAAACTAAGAGTAAAGTTGCAGCTTGATGGGCGTAATATCTCTGTTTAACCAAAATTGAGCAAGCCAAACTATACTAAGATATTACTGAAAAGGTCTCAGTATATCTTATAGTCTTGATAAAACCACTATCTTTGAATTACAGCCTTTCAAACCTTTGGTTTGGTCCTTAAAAAGTGAGAAGGACATTCATATCCTCCCGGGTTTTTCTTCAAATACTCTTGATGGTACTCTTCTGCATCGTACCAAATTTTTATAGGCTCTATTATAGTAACTATCTTGTGGTTTGGATACCATTCTTTTTGCATTTTTTCTTTAATGTCCCACGCTATTTTCTGGTCCTTTTCATCGTGCGTCATAATGGCTGATCTATATTGAGTGCCTACATCAGGGCCTTGAGCATTAACTGTGGTTGGATCATGCATTCTAAAGAAAGTATCCAAGAGCTTTTCAAGTGTAACTTCGGAAGGTTCATATGAAATTTGAATACTTTCAACAAAGTCAGTTGAGCCGGAGCAGACTCTTTCGTAATTGACATTGCCAACAGTTGGAATACCATTGGCGTATCCCACTTTAATGTCAATTATACCCTGATTACCAAAATATCTTCTGAATACTTTTTCTACGCCCCAGAAGCATCCAGCTGCCAAAGTAATTAGGGAGGATGTAGGTGTAGTTTTTAATGCAGATGAGACTGATGTGGTCATTTTCACTTTTATTCACAAATACTTGTACTAAGTCTTTTCAAAATGTTATAGAATTCAACTATACTCCAAGCTGGTACGATAGTAATTGTGGAAATCTAAATGCTTATATTACTAACTAATAATGGGCTCCCATCAATTTTAAACGGCACACCATATTGATGAGTATCACGTGATATTATTAATACTCCGAGCTTACAATCTTTTGTATGCAATACGTAATATGCAACACCTATGAGACACCTTACTTGTTTCTTCTGAAGCCGAAAAATCCTTTTTTCTTCTCTTTTTCGGCTGTATTGGTAGTTTCAATCGTGCCGTTATTAGTATTACAGTTACCTTTCTGGCTTGAAATAGTTTTCATGCTAGTGGAAGATGATTTTCGTTCTATGCCTGGTAATGTACTTACCAATTTTGATTCTCTTCTCTTTAAGCCACCTACCCAGCTCTTTTTTTCCGATTTTGGTGTCTGTATTTCTTTCTCGTTTTCAGAGAATGTCTTATTCGAAGTTGATAAATTAAGACTTGTAGGGCGAGACTCACTGGATTCTTTTATTGGGGGATCTTTGAAAGGATTCATAAATTGTCTCTTGGAAAATGATCCAGCATCGGATGATGTAGCCAGTGGAAGGTAATCTTTAGTTTCAAATGTTTCAGATGAGGACCTACTGAATGATTTTTCAATATCATTGTTTGCTTCTTCTACCACTGGGTTATTAAACTTGGCTGATGATACAGAAGACGTTTTCCTTACAGATGTGGTAGAAATACTTGAATTATCATAGACTGAAGTATTACGGAAATTCTGTGCTAATGAGTAATCACCACCATCGTACAAATCATTAATATTAAACCCAAAATCAATGGCATCTTCAGAATTATCAGTTGTATCACATTTTTGATAAAATAGAATATAAGCACTTGCCAACCCTGGTCCATTACCAAAAAAGCGCATAACATATGCATCATCTACCAACTCAACTGTTTCATCATCAAATAGTAACCACAATTTAGCCTTAATTTTACATAAAGAAATATAATGGCCATGCATTGGACCGCCACCTATGTGAACAACCAAAGCATATAAGTCGTAAAGAGAGAAGTCATCCTCTGACTTATCTTCATTTTTCTTGGAAGTTGTCGTGGTATTAAATAATCTTAATGTTGAAGGATATGATATTGAATCAAATAGTTTGACCATTTTATCAACATTTTCGTCATACTTAAACCTCTTAAAGTTAATTACTAAAATTTCAGGAAGATCCTTTAATTTAATAGTTTTAGTGGCCTCTTGCAATGAAGAACACGTATTACAATAAAATTTGTTTTGATGTGTTAATGTTTCCAGTCTTGAAAAATTATTCAATGAATATGTTAACGAATATGAGCTTTCACCAGGTGGAACATCAACTGATAAATCCAAGAATGTTTCTTCTTTAGATGTTACAGTCTCACAGGATAAACATTTAGTTTCATTGGTAATTAACCCTTGGAATAATTTATTACACCAGTTATTTTGGGGTCCATTTTCCTTATCCAAACACTCAATTATCTCGTTAATTAAATAATTAAAGAATTCATGAGCATCGTGGTGCATGTTATTTTGTCGGAATAAGTAGTTTTTATCTTTTAGTTTATTAATGAAGTATGTTGGGGAAACAACCCCTGTTTGCGATTTATTTTCTATCATACTCTCGAAAATATCCTTCAAAGAATATAATAAAGCAGAATCATCTGATTGCTGCGTTGGAAGTTGTAGAGAATGGTCTAAATTGATTATAGGTCCGTTAATTAATGCTGATCTTTTTCTTTGGTCTATTGATGGATTAGGATTGATAGGATAAATTTGACTACTTAAATATGGTTCTGGTTGAGGAATACCAATTATTACTACACATGATTGTGGTGTGATTGATATTTCGTCTTTTTGGGATCCATTTTGAGTGCCATTATTTCCATTTGTATTACTTTGATCGTTATTCAATAACATGGATGATGATTGTGAGTAATTATTTTTATTTGCTGGATTTGCTGGATTCGAGGAGGATCTTGTTATCAATAATGGTAAGTTCTGAAAATCTATGCTTTTCTTAATTAATATGCGTTGCTGAGTTGAAAGTGCCTCGCAGTTTCTGGCTTCAACTATCATGGAATTTTTATTTATGTCAGATTCGTTCGAACCGTTCATATTTTTCGTATTGTTATTGCTGCTAGAATTATTCGAATTGAATTTAATGCCAAATATAGATCCTTTTCTTGAAGATTTGGGTCTCTCAGTAGTTTCATTAACAGCCAGCGATTGAGGGCTCTTACCTTGTTCTTTCGCTCTTTTAGCCACCATTTGCTCATATTTAGTGGTGAATCCGTGTGGTTTTACCCCTGCAACAGATAGTTTTCTATCGTGTACTGTAATGTTATGCTGGGCCAATTGTGTACGGAAATTCTCTGTATAGAACAAGCATTGCAATATAGAATTGCAATAACACGTATTCCCAAAATTCTCCATGCCAAATATCTTGTTAGACCCATCTCCGTAAGGCAACAGCTTCTTACTACTAGTGCTAGATCTATTCCCATTCATAGTTTCAATGAGCCGGCTCTATATCTATACTTATTCTATAATTACCAGCCGGCGATTTATCTTATAAATCTAATAATTTCATTTTAACAGTTGGGTTAGTCACGTGAGCGTGTTCATTTCTCCATAAATGGAATTACTCCTAAACTTTTCATCTACAAAAGTGGGTACTAAGTTCGGTAATTAATAATTTTTATACATTCATACTTTGTTCTATATATGTAGTATTGGCCTAATTCTTTTTGAGGAAAGCAGATTCTCTAGGAACAGTGAACCCTTTTTGAACTTCTGGTAATTTGTCTAAGGCATCAAACCATTTACTGGTTAATGGCCATTGCTTTATGTCAATGTCAAGGCCACTCAAAAACTTGGCCCACGAGAAAATTGCAATGTCAGAAATACAGTAATGATCGCCCACAAGATACAAACCATTATTCTGATTACGTTTCAAGTACTCTTCAACCACTGAATACAACCTTTTTGTTTCAGCAGTGTATCTTTTGATACCGTATTCAATTTTCTCAGGAGCAAACTTAACGAAATGGTTTGCTTGGCCTTGCATTGGACCAAGTCCTGCCATTTGGAAGTACAAGGTTTCCAATTGCAAGTAGTAATTTTTCGTGCCTAACTCGTACGAGAATTTATGATTCTTATCGTATGTGTCAACAAGGTATTGCATAATTGCTGCAGTCTCACTGATAGTGACTCCTGTGCTCGAATCAACTAGAGTTGGAATTCTACCATTAGGATTTAACTTAAGGAACCAGTCTTCTTTTTGTTCGTTCTTGCTAATATCAATGTACTGGGCATCGTATTTGAGGCCCAACAATTCTAATAAGACCGAGACTTTGAATCCATTAGGAGTACTACAAGAGTAAAGTTTTATTCCGCTTGCTACCGACATGATTAATTGATAAACTTTAATACGCTTTAATAATTTGGGACATTACGCTATTAAATACTCACAAACCCTTACTAATCAGATTGATAGTACAAGACACGCAGCGGAAGTAATTCGCTAACCCACCCAAATTAGTAATCATAAGTCAAGTCTATTATCTGCGCCAAATCTCAATAAAGAACTGTGTAAGTATTGGATATTGTTATGTAAGCGCAACAGGATTTATGGTCCTCAATTTAATTGGAATATTTGTGTTGTATTACTTCTATAATTATGGACAACACAAATGTTTGGTTTTCGAGAGAGTTAATTGGCCATGACTAATACTAACTCGTCATCTCCCGATACGCCACAATTGAAAAAAAGTAGGAATAGATGTCTAAGTTGCAAAAAATTGAAGATTAAATGTGACGAGGCTAAGCCTAAATGTGAATATTGTGAGTACACTAAACGAGAATGTATTTACCCAGATCCTAGCACGAATAAGAAGAGAGGACGGAAACCGAAGACAATAAAGACGATTGAGAAACTAGAGCATGTAGAGCAAATAAATCCGTCGTCAGTGGAACTTTGGAACAGCCAAATGTGCCTCAATTCAGTTGCACGTCAATTAGATATTTCACAATTTGAATTTCGGTTACTACATTATTTTCAGGACCACTATATAAGAATTGAAAATACAGATCCTCTCGACAGGGTTTGGAAATTTCAAGTTCCAAAGTTGTGGCAAGAATCCGATATCGTTAGACAAAGTATTTTCTCTCTCAGTGCAATGCATTTATGGGCATTATGTGATTTGACCTCGTTAATGCAAGAAGATATTAAGGACTACAAATCTAAAAAAATAACATTTCTTAGGAATATTTCAAGCACTGAGTTGTTTCTAAATCCCAATACTTTAAAGGCTTGTTTATATGAGAAGACATGCGAATATTTCACTAACTGCTTGCAAAGAACAAATTGTATGATGGATGCAATCATAAATCAAAATTATGTTATCTCCACAGTATTCCAGGCCGCAGAGGTTGTTATCTCAGGTATTTTATTATTCTCTTTTTTGGCATTACAGCCTCATGGGCTCATACCATTGCTTTCGTACGATTCTGCTACGCCTGATATATTATCAATGTGTAAAGGGATGAAAACATCTATGTCTTATGCATTTCCATTGTTATATAATTCACCCTATCGTGGATTATTTCACTTAAATGAAATTATGGATCCACCTAAAATAACTGAAAAAGATCGATATCCTTTGATCGAATACTTAAGAGGTGAACTTGAAGAGAGTACCCAAAATTACAAATTCCTAGATGACCAATACAAAACTTTTAAGTGGTCAATTGATTTGCTTGAAATTGACTTCTGCAGGACAATTGAAACGAATAACCCACTACCGATTTACAGATGGATCTTCTTGGTTGATATCAAAATGTACGATATAATAAAGATTCACAAACATAGTTTTGGATTGAAGCTATTGTACATTTATACTTGCTTATGTGTGATGTGCCAATTTAGAATCGACCAGAAAACAAATATTTGGCTCGAGTATATAGATTGGTACAAAGATTACAACCATAATTTATTTGGTAAATGGAATGATTCTTACGATAAGGAAATGTATGAATTAGTTGTGAAAAAAAATTTTGAGATCCCAAAAGATTCCTATCATCTATTGGAAACTTTTGTCCCTCTAATTTATTTATAGGAGGAATTAAATATTTATTGAGTAAAATATTTTTAAGCCAACAAAAATTATGAACTAAACTAGCTAATTAGATTTATCCATCAAGCGAGTAACCCAAATCAACACCTTCGAACTGTTTAGCCAAGTTCTCTAATTTGCCTTTCATTAATTGCAAGTTGGGTACGTTGGTTTCGAATCTTGGCAACCACTCTGCTACACCATGTTGCAACACACCTTTGGCCCTTGTTTTTCCATGGTCAACATGTCCATAAGAGCCGTGTAGAGTCAATCTAGTACTTTTTGATGAGTACGAAGCTCTATGCAAAATGTTACTATTATAAAAGACAACATCGCCGGGATTCAAATCAACTATGATTTGTCCATTAATGAATTCCTTTCTGTTATCATTGGAAGTCTTTTCACGCTCTTCCTGCGTCCTGATTCTGTTATGGGAACCAGGAATAACAATTAAGCATTTATCCTCAGTCAAGGGTAAATTGAATTGAGTTCCCGCATACGGATCTTGTAATAATTGTTCAGCTTCTTCTTCTTCACTAACTTCCGGCTTGATATAATCTCTATGCCAATCTAAATCGAAATCTGTCAAAGGGTTAATAAGCATATTAAAAAGCTCCATACTTAATCCGTTCTTATCTGTCTGTAAGATATCGCCCGCAATATCCAATAATTTATCAGACGAGTAGCACTCATGAAATGGTGTTGACAAGACTCCTAAATCAGGGCTCAATAATCCAGATATTCCCCAGATATCAGGGCTAAAATTCTTTGGCCAAGGAGGAAACTGCTTCCCTCTGGTCCTGACTTCCGGCCACTTACCTTCTCTTGCATACTCAACTACATTTTCAGATGCATTTCTATACTTATTTACTTCTTCTTGCGTTAATAACCCTCTCACGATAGTGAAGCCATCCTTAGCGATTTGATCGTGGTGTTTGTGTGAGATTTGAATTGTCATTTTAATGTGTTTCTTTTTTTGAATTATGTATCGAATATAGAAGGGTCATTACAGTAGATTAAGCTTACTATTTATATTGTAATTAATAAGTATCCATGTATACACTGTAACGTACTTTCAAAATTCAAAAAAATAAGTTCAAATGTAACCTCGCTATAATGTAACGTCGATGTTACATTATAATTTTGGGACATTGTAATATTTGAAAACTTCAAGTTTTACCATCTATAAATATCAAATTTTAATATTATAAGTTAGAAAGCATTCAATTACATACTTACAATGGCAATTAATATCAATTGGGGAATTTTAGGTGCTGGGAATATATCCTCACAATTCGTTCATGACTTGTGCTTGAGTAATGAAAAAGGTGATAATGAAGTTAAGCACATAGTTAGATCAATTGGGACCTCTTCAAAAACAAAAGGTCAAGCTTTTATCGATTCAAATTGTATTAAATCAAACAATAACGAAGGCATTATTCCAGATTTACAAACTTATGATGAATTTTTTACTAATGATCAAATTGATGTTGTTTATGTTGGTACCCCACACCCACTACATAAACATCAAGTTATTCAGGCTTTAGAAAATAATAAGCATGTTCTTTGTGAAAAGCCATTCACAATTAATTCAGCAGATGCTAATGAGATAATTCAACTTGCAAAGAAGAAAAACAGATTCTTAATGGAAGCTGTCTGGACAAGATTTTTCCCATCTATTACACTTCTGAAGAAATACATATTTGAAGATAAACTTCTTGGTAAGATCAATAGATTATTTGTTGACTTTGCATATGATGCTGATATTGAAAATCTACCAGTTACGTCAAGGCTCAGAGATATAAAACTAGGCGGCGGTTCATTATTAGACATAGGCATTTATTCTATAACTTACGCAAGAATCTTGTTAGATGACAAAGTTGGAATCCAAGCGACAGAATTTGACACGAAGTCATTTCTCACGTTAGATCCTATCGATAAAGTTGATTATACCTCGTCTATTTTAATGAAATATGTAGATGGGAAACAAGGAATATTAACATGTTCTAATTATACTGATGGACAGGAACCATTCTTAAGGCTTGAAGGCTCAAAGGGGACATTAGAAATGTGGGCCACGAATCCTGCTCGTCCCAAAAAATTCAGGATTACGTTTAAAGACAGCAGTGATCCTATAGAATATGAAGACAACAGTGCATTTAATGGCTTTATTCATGAAGCTGATGCAGTCGCTAGAAATATCATCCTGGGAAAGTTAGAAAACGATACGATGCCTTTAAGTGAAACTCTTTTAGTGATGAAAATTATGGATACAGTCAGGGCAGAAAATGGCTTGGAATATCCTGAAGATAAATCTTGAATTAGGATACAGCCTTGAGTGCGAAGTTCTCTGATGTGCTAGTTGAGTATACAGGTTTTGCTGAGAAAAATTCATGTAACCTACTTATTTTGGTTCAAATCTATATTTTTTTAGCCAAATGTAATTAAGGACTTTATACTTAAAATTTATCATATTTCATTCTATTGTTTACGTTATATTCGTCTAAGCGAATTAATATAAAAAATTATGTTTACCCAAGAAACAATTCGATTTGATGATATTACGCAAGATATATTTCTTTTGAATGACATCATTTTCATCATTTACTATTCTTCAAACCCGTGGAACTTTTGTTATTATTGGCTGGCGATATCTTCTATGACAAGAATTAATCCGAAAGAACAATAAAGCCGCATGGATTGCATGTGGTTAGTACTAAAAGGGCTCAAAAGTACATAAAAATTTTTCCGGCAACCGATCCTGTTGAGATTATTTGGCAATCATATCTTGCAACCTATAAAAGAATATTTCGATCTCCTTCAAAAAACAACTTCGTTTCTAAAATATTTGTTTATTCAATAAATTTAATTAATTATGTTTGAAGATAATGAGAAAGACTTGAAATCGACTAACGAATTTGTGGATAATGGTTCCAATTCAAGCAATCATACTGCCAATGGCTCATTTACGCCGAAGGATAAAATTGACAGTAATGAACTTGAAAACCATGAAACTCCTAAAGATCCAGATCAAATTCCATCTGCAAATGAAATTGTTGAAAATTTGCCTACCTTGCCAGAAAAATCTGCTAAAGATTATTTATCTACTTCCTTTTTCTGTTTATTAATTGCTTTCGGTGGTTATGTTTTCGGCTATGATACCGGTACAATCTCAGGTTTTGTTAATATGACTGACTTTAAAAGGAGATTTGGTAGTTTAGATAATGGTGAGTATGTTTTAACCAATATTAGAACTGGTCTCATTGTTGCAATTTTTAATATTGGTTGTGCTGTTGGTGGTATTTTTCTCTCCAAAATAGGTGATATATATGGCCGTCGTGTTGGCCTTATGTTTTCCATGCTTATTTATGTTGTCGGTACTATTATTATTATTTCAGCTACCGATAAATGGTACCAAGTGGTAATTGGTAGAGCCATTACCGGGTTAGCTGTTGGTTGTGTTTCAGTTCTCTCGCCCATGTTTATTGGCGAGTCTGCACCTAAGGCAGTAAGAGGCACATTGGTTTGTTGCTTTCAACTTTTTATTACTTTGGGTATTTTCTTAGGATATTGTACAACCTACGGTACTAAGGTATATGATGATTCTCGTCAATGGAGAATTCCACTGGGTTTATGTTTTGCATGGGCCATATTGTTGACTATTGGTATGGTTTGCATGCCAGAATCCCCTCGTTATCTTATTGAGAAAAACAAGATCGAAGAAGCCAAAAAATCCATTGGTATTTCTAATAAGGTATCTGCAGAAAACCCAGCTGTCTATACAGAAATTCAATTAATTCAGGCTGGTATTGATAGAGAAAAGTTGGCAGGTTCTGCTTCTTGGTCCCAATTAATAACTGGTAAACCAAGAATATTCAGTCGTGTTATCACTGGTATTGTCTTGCAATCGATTCAGCAATTAACAGGTAACAATTATTTCTTTTATTATGGTACCACTATTTTTCAAGCCGTTGGATTAAATGATTCATTCCAAACTTCCATCATCTTGGGTGTTGTTAATTTTTGTTCAACATTTGTCGGTATTTACAGTATTGAAAAATTAGGAAGAAGAGTTTGTTTGTTAACAGGTTCTGTCGCGTGCAGCATTTGTTTTATTATTTACTCAGTATTAGGATCTGTTGCCTTGTATCCTGAAGGTTACGATGGACCAACGGATCAGCCAACAGGTAATGCGTTGATTTTCATTACTTGTTTATTCATTTTCTCATTTGCGTCGACATGGGCTGGTGGTGTCTATACTATTGTATCAGAGATTTACCCATTAAGAATTAGATCCAAGGCTATGGCGGTAGCTACTGCTGCTAACTGGATCTGGGGGTTCTTGATTTCTTTCTTCACTCCTATGATCACTGCCAATATTCATTTCTATTACGGTTTTGTTTTCACAGGTTGTTTGATCTTTTCATTCTTTTATGTTTACTTCTTTGTTTATGAAACTAAAGGGTTGTCATTGGAAGAGGTCGATGAATTATATTCTCTGAAGACACCAGCATGGAAATCCTCTGGTTGGGTACCACCATCTACAGATAATATGGCGCATCATACTGGGTTTGCATCGGAAGCTAAACCTTCTGATGAACAAGTCTAAAAATAATTTTTTAGTGGTCATTCCAAATGTTGCATTTAAATCGTTCTTTACATTAATAGTTTAAAACTTATTGTAAATATATAACATAACATAACATAACATAACATAACATAGATAAGAATATAAAACGTAGAGCAATACGGAATTTGTGGAGGCCTCCAAGGAAATTCTTGTTATACAATTATTTTGATTCCCCCTCTTTCATAGCCCTACATATCCAAGACTATTTAAAAATGGTAGGATCTTTAATATCTGAATCGCCTTGGATAATGTTGTAACTCTTTCCAAAAGTCTGAGCATTGTTTAAAATTTGTACTATAACACGAGCGACATCAATTCTATCGATAGACGTTTCTAGTCCTTCCTTTGCACCTATTATACTAATTTTTCCAGTTCCTTCATTATCAGTCAAAGTAGTAGGCTTCAATATGGTAAAGTCTAAATCGTCTTGGAATTCATTTATCAAGATTCTATCAGCATAGTGCTTAGCAATGTAATAATTATGAAGCGGTGACTTTGAAAAATATTCACGATCATCAGCATGAAGAGCACTTATAAGCACTAATCTACGTACTCTAGCTATACGTGCAGCTTCAAATGTTTTAACAGCGCCATCTAAATCAACTTGTAAAAGATTCTTACCAGCAGATCCTGCTGTAAAGACTACCGCATCATGACCCTCAATTATTCTTGCGATATCTTTAACCGATGCATTATCTAGCGCTAATTTCGCTGAGGTTATTTGACTGGATATGGAGGATATGGATTTCTCTTGTTCTGTTGATCTGACAACAGCAGTTGGATTTAAGTTGGAACTTGCAAGTTCTTTTAGAACAAGCTTTCCTATTTGGCCAGTTGCACCAAAAACTATAACGTTCTTTGCTAAGCATGACATTTTATACCACTTATTTTTCAATTTATAATCGATGTATATATATAAGAGAAAGCAAGGGTGACATTTACTTAGAAATCAAGGAGCTGGTTTATAATGTTCTTGTATACAGGAAATTATATTGTGCTGCTTGTTTCAATATCAGAAAGCAAATCATAGTTTCCCTAGAGAAGGTTGAGCAACTCGCAAGGTATATGTAAAATTTCAGTACAAATATTGCGTTAGATACATTTGCGAACGTTACTATCTATTATGTCCATAAGGCTATATGTAGGATTATTATTGGCTTGATTACCTTGTATATTTAACAATCTCCTTCCTTTGTGGTTTTTGATCTATATATCCTTTTCAACCCTCTCGAATTCACCTGCTGCATATACTTTTTCTCTTTCATTGTCATCAATTACAGCCTTTTCTTCTTCTTCTTCTTGCGATCTAACAATCCTAATTTCAGGACCTAAAAATGTGATCAAGAGCACATACCCGAAGACACATCCCATGAATATTGCCATGACCTTACCATAATTAACAACATCTTTTCCTATTTCAGGTAAAGGAAATCTTTCACCAATAGTTGACTCGATGGTAGAAGAAGCGGATGAAGCAAGGTTTCCTAATTGATAAGCAATACCAACGATGAAAGATCTATACTCATAAGCAGGTGTACTAAGTTCACTTAAATGAATTGGTATAACACCAAAGGCTCCTTGAACGCCGAACTGCAAGAAAAAAACTGCAGCATTTATACCTCCATTTTTAACGAATGCCCAAGGGTAAATCAAAGCACCTCCTAAAATGCAACAAATTATAATAGAAAATCTTCTACCAAGAAAGTTTGAAAAGTGACCCATGACTATACCACCTAAAATAGCCCCTAAGTTAGCGACACAATTTGTTACTGTAGATCTGTCGTCACTGAATCGTAATTGTGTCTTTAAATAGGTAGGATATAAATCTTGGGATCCATGAGACATAAAATTAAACCCTGCCATAAGTAAAACCATGTAAACTAACATGAGCCAATAATACTTTAAAACATTAGCAGCTTTTTTCTCGAAGGATTGTGTTTTAACACCAGACGATTCCTCTATTGCCTTTTCTAATTTCTTTTTCTGGTAAGCATCCGTCTGTGGTAATACAGCTCTAGCCGTTATGATCAAGACAGACACACCTGCAGCAAACCAAAATTGTGCTCTCCATGATTTTGAAGTAGTATCAGCAATTGCTCTACTGAAAATAACCGCTAAAAGATAACCCAAAGCATAACCTTGTTGTAATACTCCAGAAATGAATCCCTTTGCTTTTATTGGGCAATCATCTAAAGCTGTCGCGGTCGCATTGCCGTAGATGCCTCCCATAATAATTCCAAATAAAGCTCTAACTCCCAAAAATTGTTTAAATGTTTTTATGAACCCAGTTCCGACTTGTAAAATACACATTAAAATTAAATTAATGACGAAAGGCCATTTTGAACCATACTTGTCACCAAAGTATCCAAAAATGAAGGCACCGATTGTTCTCAACATTAAAACTAAAGTAATTCCCCAAGTAATCAGTTTCACATCAGTTTGTAAATCGCTCGCTAACTTATCCACATTAAGATTAACAGTAAAGAAGTCAAAACTATCCCATGTCCATGCTGCTAAACCTGAAAGAATAAATAGCCACTGTTTACCTGAGATTTCTTTGATAGCAGGAAACGGATTCAATAAATCCCTGTTAGCTTGCATATACTCCTTGGTTGGTAACAATTCAGTGAATCTGCTTTTTAAGTAATTATTAATAGACCCAGCAGAGAAACTTGGGGCCTTTAAAGCAGCTTGTTGAGATTCAGTGTTATGATATTTTTGTTCTTGCTCGACATTATCAATAGAGTGTTCTATATCTTCCCCAGAAATACTACGGGAAGATCTAGACAGAGATTCTCTGGACATTCAATAAATAGTTTTTTATGAAATAATGAAGAGAAAAAGGGCTGAAAGAATATTAAAGTAAAATTTTCAAGTATATATATATTGCAAAGATTTCCAGTCTGATGCGGTAAGCCGCATCAAATTTGGGGAGACACATTATTGATGTCAAATAAGATTTGACATGCATGAACCCGGGTATTAAATTATCCGATTTCTAATACAACCAGCTATATAATAGTTGACTACTATGTATTGCGGATTATTAATGTTATAACTTACTACTTTTATACGGTTACTAGTGTTATATATTTCTACATAAAATTTTTGCGTTAGATTCTAAGTTTTATTGATTGAGTTTTATAAAGTGGGGCTCTCGAGGGGAAATTCGCAAAATTTTCTGTTTGACTCATTAAGTGATGTGCGTTGGTAATCAAAGCTACAATATTTTTTACTGGAGCCGATGGATTCTATTTTTGAAAGAAATTATTGGGTCATGTGATTGAATACAAGAACCTTTTTATTGATAAGCATCTCTACATAGAGTTTATGCTTATAAACCTTGTAAAATTATTTTTAAAATGCTTATCGCAATTAATAAACTTTTTTATGTTTGTCATGTTCAAATTTTATTCCTTTATACCTAGTACTTATTTCTACTTTGAATTAGGACGTTTATTCTACTTTCACTGTATTTTTCAAATCTCGGTATATCTAACTTCATCTTTCTGTTTTGGTATATTTATCATTATTCGAAAATCTAATTTGAACATTTAATCCTCTAGATTCTGTCAGCAAAGAAACAGTAGTTCTAATGTCAGATGATAGCGACACTTGTAGGATCATAGAGAAGCCGAATCATCGTTCATTCACAAGTAGTTCAACAACTCATATAAAATATAAATTAAGGGTGTGATCGACTTTTTCATTTTATATATCAGACTTAAAATATCATAAATTCAATTGTAATTTACAAATTCTATATGCAGATTTATCCATAAAAGAATAGATAGGATTCTATCTATATTCGAAAGTACTTTATTCATAATGCTCAGTCTGAAGCTTCTCCTTTTCAGAACTATCAATATCCATAGTTTGGATTTCAGGTTCAAACTGTTTATCTACTTGCTCAATCTTTATTCTCTTAAAGTCAGCTTCCGATTTCGATGCTAACCAGCTATCGTTTGCAAATAAATAGTCAATGTCTTCCAAGGTTCTGTTGGCAGTTTCGGGGCAGAATAAGTATACTAAAACAAGCGAAAGAAAATTACATGCCCCAAATATATATAACGTTTTTTCCCCGATATTACTAAACATAATCGGACATAAAAGCGTTAACCACCCATTTCCAATAGACCACCCGACGACACCAAATGCATTGCCCTGGGCCCTAACTTTTAATGGAAATATTTCAGTTGGATAAAGCCATGGAACGGCTAACCATGTTGCTCCAAAAATTGAGGTATAAATAAATACAAAACTTGCAGCTGCAGCACCATAAGATGAATTCTTTGGATTGTTTTGCTGAAGTTTTGAAAATCCGCCTGCCAAAAACATGGATATTCCTTGTCCTATTGCTCCCCAAAATAATGTGAATCTTCTACCGAATCTATCCACTGTGAAAAAATTTATCAATGTTGATAAACAGTAGAATATATTATTAAGTCCACTTAACCAAGCGGACTTACGAGTTCCAAATCCGGCTTGCTTGAAAATCTCTGGTTGATATACTGTAACACCAGCAATTCCAACCCATTCTTGAAGAATTTGCATCCATATAACTATTTGTACACGTCTTGCGATGTGAAGTGTTTTGGCTTTGACAGATTTCTTGCTGTCTTTACTGGGGAAATACCCGAGAAACATACGCCAGTAGCTTGATGATAAAGCTGAATCTTGTTCAAACCTCATGGCATCTACAATTTCAGTAAACTCTTGGTTGCCTCTTTCTACACCTCTCATATTTAGAAGAATTTTCTTAGCGTGGTCCTCTTCACCATTTTTAATGAGCCACCGTGGTGATTCAGGAAAGAACCACACAATACCAAATAACACAAGTAATGGAATAATTTGAAAAGCAATTGGAAACCTCCACTGGAATGCTGAAAACCCACCATCTATATAACTTAAACCATATTCCAACCAGTATGCAACACAAACACCAAAAATATTCAAGGTGAACTCTATTGCTATGAATGCACCTCTAGATGTATGTTCTGCAGTTTCAGAAGAATACACAGGAACTACGGCATTAAGAATACCAGTACCAATGCCATTAACAAACCTTGCACCACACATCCACGACATTTGTTGTGCAGCACATTGTAATGCTGCCCCAAATATTGCAATTAACGCGCCAAGTGCAATAGCTTTAATTCTACCTTGACGATCTGAGAATAGGCCTCCAAATACACATCCAACAAGTGTACCGAAGTAGTAAATTGCTACTATACCACCTTGCCTAGTTGAATTGGTAACTGTAACATCTCCATTTTTATCAAAATACCCATATTTCATTTTACCTACATAATCTGGAGATGTATTGACACCTGCCATCATACCTTGATCATAACCAAAGAAAAAGATAGCAAGTGCCGCCAATGCAACCACACAATGGGTCAACTTCTTTCCTTTTACGTAATTCTCAAGCAAATATTTCTCTGATATTGAAAATTTCATTTTAATCTTGTTTTCATTGTGAATAACATATAAAAAGTGTTTTAGTGGATAAAGCTACCTTATATTCATTGATTCAGTTCTTCCTTTTTGCGACTTTACCAAAGAATAAGGTTTAACTCGTATGTGTGGGGAAAATATTTTGTTCTGTTTCTTATTATCTTCCCCCACCCCCACAACGTATACTGCATCTCCAGTAAAGTAATCGTTTCAATCCGGCTAACTTACATATATCCGTTGCTATTCCTGAATAATAGAATAATTTGTAACCAATCAGTGTATGGCTTGTCAACAGTTCAAAACGGTACGAACTCTACCTTGGATGCTTCCTGTTCTTTCCGACAATTCATCCGGTCGCGTTTGATGCATGGAGGAATTATAGAAGGTTAGGTAAGAATTACTTGAAGCTAATACTCAATGGTCAAATTAAAACCGAAAATCTCTCACTTACCTTCTCGGGTTCAATAACATACACTTGGTGCTCAATAAAACTTCCGAAAAAAATATTGTCTGCGTTTAAACAACAAAAATTATATATGATTTGACTGTACTGCAGGATACAAAAATCCCATTTAAATAAGAACGTCCCAACATACAGAAAGTAATGCCATTATTTGGCAATAAGGGCAATAAGGATTCTAACTAATTATAAAACTTCGAATGACTCATATAATTGTCTTCTTCAAAGACCATTTGTTGTAAAACAGCTATCCATGCACTGGTTTAAGATCTATGCTGTGGAATAATATAGAAAAATCTTTAAAATTAACAAAATCTGTTGTAAATGTCCTTCCACATGAAATTATCGGTAACGTTTATTCTTTCAAAAATAGTCTAATTTGAATATATCACTTACAAAGCTAACATTAAAGACAATCTCAATTTTGACTTATTAATACTGCATATTGATTTACTTATCATATCCTTCCGAAATAGTTCCTTTGCGCTAATCGTTATCTAATCACCTACTTCAATTCACATACAATGAACTATTCAAAAATGTTATATATAAAATACTTGATAACATGGACTTGTTTGAATTTCGAAATAGTCTTTTTAATCTTAGTACAGTGCTATGTCTAAAATACACCCCATACTCTCAGGAGAGGAAATAATCGAGCAAACTTTATCGAATAAACTATTTTACAATAATACTCAAAATGTTGAAGAACCTAAAATTAACGCTTTATTATCTAATTCTGATGAACAATTATTAGCAGAGATAGGATACAAGCCAGAACTAAAGAGGCACTTCTCATTGTTTCAAGTATTCGGTATATCTTTTAGTATAATGGCTATATTACCGCTGATTCTGAGTATTCTAGCTGATGGGTTAACTGGTGGACCTGCTGGTTGTTTTTGGGGATGGGTGATTTCTTCAATTTTTATTCTTACAATCGGAATTTCCATGTCAGAGAATGGAAGTTCGCAACCAACATCCGGAGGCTTGTATTACTGGACTAATTTCTATGCTCCAAAGCGAGCCAAAACAGTTATATCTTATTTAATAGGAAATACCAATTCAATTGCATTGATTGGCGGTTTATGTTCTGTTGACTATGGTTTTGCACAAGAAATATTGAGTGTAATTGTGATAGCAACAGATGGTGATTTCAATGTAACTGCTGCTAAGACCTATGGGGTATTTGTTGCTTGTGTTTTATCACATATAATACTTACTTGTGCTTCATCAAAAAATTGTGCCTGGTTACAGACAACGCTGGTTATTTTGAATACCACTATTGTTGTCATATTTTTGATTGCTCTACCAATCGGTGCTAAAGGAAACTTCAAAAGCGCAAGTTATGTTTTTACAGAATTTAATAACTTTTCTGATTGGCCGTCTGGTTGGACCCAGATATCATCAACATGGTTACTGGGAATATGGACACTTGGTGCTTTTGACTCGGTAATCCATATGTCGGAAGAAATTCCTCTGGCATCGACTGCTATTCCAGTTGGGATAATAGGTTCCTTGTCAGCCTGTATTATTTTGGGAATTATTGTAATGCTTGTCACTCTATTTTGTATACAAACAAATGATATTGAAGGCCATATTATTGGTTCGAAGTTTGGTCAACCGATGGCTCAAATCATTTACGATTGTTTGGGGAAGAAATGGGCAATATCATTTATGATACTAATTGCATTAGGCCAATTTCTAATGGGAGCATCAATTTTAACGGCTATATCCCGTCAAATCTGGGCATTTTCTAGAGACAATGGATTACCATTTTCTTTTTGGATTAAAAAAGTCAATGTAAAGTTGTCTGTCCCAATTAGAGCTGTCTGTTTCGGGGGTTTTATGGCTATTTTGATAGGCTTACTATGTTTAATTGGATCCACGGCTGCAAACGCTTTATTTACTTTATACATTGCTGGTAATTATGTCGCTTGGGGAACTCCAACTTTCTTGAGGTTGACTTTTGGTAGATCAAAGTTTCAGCCAGGGAAGTTTTACTTAGGAAAGTTTTTCTCGCCGCTTATTGGTTGGACTTCAACCGCATTTATCCTATACACTGTCGTGATGGTAATGCTTCCATCCACCAGACAACCAGATAAAGAAACAATGAACTATACTTGTGTTATTACCCCTAGTGTTTGGATCTTGTCATTAATCTATTATAAATTATATGCCCATAAGTATTATCATGGCCCACAAAAGACTGTCGATGTTTCAGATTATGCGAATGAAAAACATATGGAACAGATTTATACGATCCTAGATGGGGTTGATGTAGATTCTGGTAAAAAATCTATGACGTACGAAAAAGTTTGATCTATAAATTTCGATTGAGAATTTAATTTGATGGGTTTCGTATGAACAAGTATAGAAATTAATTATTCCTAGTACTAAGTATTAAATATTTAGTCTGATAGTAATAAATTTGCAATTTCCAAATTTGCTTCTCGAATGTATACTCGAATATCATATTCTGCAAGATTTCTTAATTTTTGCGAAATGGTTTTATTTCATCGGAATTAACATAGCTTTCGCAGAACTTCCTAAACTTTAATTAATGGGATGTTAGAGAGATTCGTCAAACTTTCAATGACTACCTGTTAAACCTTGGATCAATTCCTATAAAATCTCCACAAATGACGGAACTTTTTGGAATCTTCTGTCTGTTCCAAAAATGGATGAATAATATAAAACAATCAAATATTATAAAATTGATACAAATAATAAGGATTACTGAAAAGTGTTATATTTATAATAACTACGCAGAAGGTACAAAAAAGAACTTTTAAACCTCAATAGTCATTCTATCTAAATAAGAAATACTCCATATAAGTTTAAACCTCATCTATTAAGGGCTTCGTCTCGACTTGTACTATTTTCATCTAAATATGGGCGTTCACCGATACCGACAGTTCTTACACCAGTACGTTCGAATGTCTCATTGAAGTAATCATTTGTAGCGGTGTGGTAGACAGACCTATTATCCCAGATTGCCACGTCGTTTTTCTTCCAGCGAAATCTTACCTGAATATCATGACTCCCATATAAGAGTTCATTGAGGTGGTCTTTGATGAGAGCACTTTCCGAATCAGATAGACCATTTATAGACGTAAAATGATGACCAATACCGAATATAGACTTCCAGCCAGTCACCGGATTAGTCCTCACAATAGGATGTACTGCTGTTAATTCGTCACCTACATTTTCTGGCGCACCTCTAACTCCAGAATAGATTTCAAACTTGCCTTCGGCGGCTTGTTTGAACCCCGGTTGCGAATACACCCCAGTCAACGTTTCAAGAAAGTTTCGAAACGTAGGCGTTAACTTTTCATAGAGTGCATAACCACTTGCCCAAAGAGTGTCTCCTCCAGTTGGTGTTGATTCAACAATTTTAAGGACCGCATAATCTGACGTAACTGGCTCAAAGGTTATATCACTATGCCAACCTTCGCCACTTCTCTTTCCACGCGAAAATTTCTTAACAAACAATTCTTTGCTAAGCTTAGAAGATATTATCGATACTTCGGGATCAGTCTCTTCAGAACTATCGTTTTTCAAAAATCCTCCTGCTGGTGCTGTTGGATGAATATGAAGTCCAGAAGTTTCCGGTTTATGTGTTAACTTTCCAAGCTCGTCTGCGAGAATCTTCTGTTCTTCAACAGTAATATCCTGATCTCTAAAAAAGACAACACCACGACGAGAAACAGTAATTGCAAGATCCCGTAATTTCTTCTTATCCTTTAGAATGTCACTAATTTTAGCTGTAGGATATTCTCTACCTATCTGAGGTGTTATCTCATCAAATTCATAGTCACGATCAAGGTCCCCTGATGGTTCAAGAAAAAGTGTTTTTGGTTGATACGAAGGACCATCTTTAGTCTTTTCGGCGTATGGTGATGGTCCACTATATTCCTTACTTGAGTTCTTGAAAGTATTCTTTTGAAGAATACTGTACTTTGGGACGTGACTTTCTAAGGTCGTACTTTCTGTGCTTGTAGGAGACATGTTAATCTTTTACTTATTATTTGTTTAAGTAGGAGATTAAAACAAAGAGGATTCATATCCTTAAATAGGTTGTATCCCAATAACTGTGGCATATATATTTAGCTCTATCTTATTGATTTGTCATCTATGAATGTGGAATTCTTTAACAATAATTTAGCAAGAACTGTCTGAATTATGAAATATGTGTTGCATTTTTATCCTTTTAGTGCACATATTATAACTGTGCACAAAAAAGTCTCGTAAATATGTCTGATGTGCGAAATTCACATTCCTAATAGGTTGCTGTGGATGCTGTGTGGCTTGTTCGCAGCCACAAATTGTGTGTATCTATTATCTCTGTTATATTCCTTTCACAATTGTAGAAAGGAGCGTCTACAATTATAAGAATCTGTACAAACCCTATACTATTTTGCTATATAAAAAGAAGAATAGGTTCGATAAGATCATAATTATATACTACGATATTTCATTTCAACATATAACTACAAGAATTAAAATAAGATACAAAGAAATTCTCAGAATATCTCCACAGCTATTACTACTCGACGTATTACTAGAATTATGTGAAGAATTAAAGGAATTTATACTGGTTTGATTGTTGCACCAGTTTTTCTTGATTTCTGTTGACACTCCTTTTCCGCCAGTACCAATTGCTGAACAATTAACACCTGGAAGTTCCCTATACCCACTGAAGTAACCAGGAATTGGTTTATTAAAGTATTGGTTTTCTGTATCAACATATTTATTAGTATAGTCCGATCTTTGGGCAAGAACTTGAAATATATTAGCATTCCCATTGATGTTAGTATCATTTCTTCCTAGAGTATGTAAACTCCAATTATTTTCGATCGTTGATAGTTCTGAGTAATGAGTGTAGTAAGTATTATCACTAGTATTGAAATGTGATTTGTCAATAGCTCCTCCTAACAATAATGCCCAGACTTTATTCTTTTTGTCGTAAGATTCATTTTCATCAAAAGTTATTAAAATTAGTGTATTTTTCATGAAATATTCATTATCAAGTATTGGTTCCAAGAATCTTTTGCACCATTTCCGGAAATGCTATGTTTGTATCATGACCATCATTAGTCATATTGGGTGTAATAAACATCCATTGAGGTAAAGAATGCTGGTTTAAATCGTTATAAAATTCTGTAAAGTTCTTGATTTTTGATAGTCTTGATGAATTATTTGTAATTGAGCCATATGATATTAAAGGATTATGTTTCCTAACATAACTATTAGAATTTCCATGTTTTGAAAAGGCAAACCCTTCAAATCCAGAATACGGAAGATCTTCTTGATATTCCCCCCATGTAATGCCACCCTCTTCCAACAAATCTGCTACACTAGAAACAATACTAGGAAGTACTACAAATGAATCTTTATCCAATCCAAAAGTATCACCACCTACTGAAGCAATGTAGTTTGGTTCCGAAGGATGAGTCAATGCCCAATAATTTGTTAAAGTTACACCACGCTCAGATAACCAATGTAAGTCAGCATTAGATGAGGCAGCCTTTTCATTGGTATTTTCCAACCATATTATGACAAATCTATCAAATAATTTACCTGTAGTAGATGAATTACTCTGGATACTTGCCGCATCATTTGTTTCTAGATATTCTATTTTAGATTCATGGATTCCGGAAGAGGAACCTGAAGCAAAAGTTAAAATAAGAAGGGTAATTTCAAAAATTATAAGTAATTGATTTTTCATATCTTGTATCTTGTCCTAATTTTTTTTACAAAATAAAAGTACATTTAAAGATTGCTTTATCAATAGCCTTTGTCAGTGCTTTTCAATGGATTTCGTAATTTTTGTTGCATATTGCTGCAGCAGCTGAAAAAAAATAAAATCGAATATAGTTATAGCGGTAATTAAAGTAATTACTCCATCACCTAGCTGAAGTTGAATAATTGTAACAGAAATATATTATTTAGGTCTATTCCCTGTTCCTATACGTTACGAGACCTAGCAGACTATATGTGATATGACTCTAGAATGCTCACTTCGAAATTATGCATGGGTACAATTGATGTTATGATTATTATCTCTGCAAGGCAATAACTCTCGTCGTATTATCTTCTTATTACTATTATATCATTTAAATTTATAAATGATATTCTGTAATAATACAGAAATTTCAGATTATAAATGCTTTAATTGACTAATTGATGCTCTCTATTATAATATGAATTGCCATTTATTTTGCTATCTTAAGATGAATTCAAATTTACAATCTACTATTACACAAGATTGAACTATTTTAGTAGAGAATTTTGAACTAACATTTTGTAACTAGGTGTTTACATTCTCAGAAGAATATTGGGTAAAATACTTCATCTTAATTCTATTTCAGCTAGAATAAATGAATGGAAACAAAAGCGCATTTCAAATGATATGTTTTTAGTAAAAAAACAGCCTTTATATGTTTTATAATGCAGAACAATAAAGTCGCTAAAATAGATATTACTTTCATATTTTATATTTTATAAATTAAACTCAATGAAAATTAAAAAAAAGCGTTCCAAGCGGAATTTTCAAATTGGAACCAAAAGTTTGATTTATGGTTATCTCAAGAGTTTAACGTGATTAATTTTTTTCCCATTTGTCGAAGTAGATATATATCAACTCAATTCTATAACTCATCTAATTGCTATTTACCTTTATCTATGTTTCTTTCTAGCCACAAACCTAATACTTCTCAAAGCTTATGAGCAGATAGGCCATTACAGTATCGTAACACTAAATACGTCAATAAACGATGTATTTTTTACTAGTTCCTATAATCAACATTTATAAGGAACAGTGTCTTATCAAATGGCAGGAAAAAAAATTCAAGACTAAAATATTGGTTTTTGTTTAGAATATTTATGGAGATCTAAGACAACAAAGCAAAGTTATTGTTTCTGTTGATTTTATAAGAATGGCATAGAGCAATCATAAGGATTATAATTCCTAAACATAGATCTTTTACATAATTGATAACTTGTAAAATTCTCGGGCTTTAAGAATAGTCTTTAGAATTATTCTGAAAGTAAAAATCTCGTTTGTACGCGCCAGTCCATGTACCATAGGCCACAATGTGTTCCAGGAACGAATTTTCGAATTGTTCAAACTTGGCTTCACTTGGTACATCAAGGGTACTTTTTAAACCAATCACCTGATAAACGTAGCGATGATCACCATGATCCAAAAGAGGACGTGGTCCATCATAAACTGTACCTAGAATATTCTTAATATAATTTACTGACGATGCATTTTTTCGAATAGCCTCTACATCGTCTTGAGTGAAACTTCGCTTTTGTTCTGAAATATTGAAGAAACATCCATGAAGAGCCGCAAATGGTAGAGGCAAGTCAATATCTTGCACGACCACTGCAAAAGTCTTAATATCTTTTACTAAATTTTCTCCGACATTCCAAGAAATGCAAGGAAATTGATTATCTTTTAGAAGTTCGTGTTTCAGATCAAGCCTATTTGGCATGCTTGTATCCGTACATTCTATCTCAATTGCACAAGGAATGTCAGAAAACATGCTCTTCTTTGTGAACATTTTGTCTTCATGATCTTTGAAGTTAAATAGAAGCCTTCCGCAGAGGCTTTCGAAGCTCAGCATTAATTGCATTGAGCCGAATATATTAAGTATTACTCACGAGAAATTATAATATTGGTTCTATTGCCCCTTTTATAATTTGTGATCTCGGTGATAAGCATATCATAATTCGGCCGAGAACTTTGACAGAAAACTCCTTCTCTGTGTTCACTCGTATACATACAGTTTTAAGTTATCCTGTATAATTAGCAGGTCTAAAAATAAATTGACAGGATGTTAAATTTAAACATTAACTTGAAGGTCCATATTAAATTAAAGAGCTATATTTAGTTCACTTCAATTTATTTTTCTTTTTGATACATAGCTTAATATGTCAATTCCTTCAATTTCGTTACTCTTTTAACGGTAAAAGTAAGCTCAATTTGCTTGTTTAAAAGTATTTAACAAACTTATAGCGATTCCCTTCTCTCAACGAAATATTTTACTTGATTGTTTTCAAAATCTAACAGAAATTCACTGATTGAAATTATGCGACTTTTAGTAATGTCAAGCATCCGTTTTCTCCGTAGAGCCTATTACAATTTTTCGTATAATTATCTTCATTCTCCTCTGATGAATAAAAAGCTAATGTAAGACAAATTAGTCTTATTGACTCAGAGAGGGTCTAACTTTTCGTGCATAATTGACAGCGGATGTCCCAAAACGGAAATTTTTTCAGCAGCAGATTTATCAAGTCAAATTTAATAAAACATCTTTAACGAAGGGCCAAATGAATAGATTATTATAGTATGCATCAATGATTCCTGAATATTTGATTCAGTTAAAGGCAATTATAAATTAAACATCAAAATAAAGAAATTAAAGAATTGGAAACTTTACACCAGTAATTTCCATTTGATTTGAGCGTTTGTTGTAATATTAAATATATAATGCTTTTATAGGTTTAACTTTATCATTGCTTTACTCAAGCAATAGTCCTTGTATTGTTCAACTAAACGAAAGTTATTTATTTCAGCTTGACCATTTACTTCACTTACGATATCACGATTTACAAATACAAGCACCATATTCTTGGACTTAAGCAATTTTCCAGGTAAAGTCTTATTGGTAATAAGCTAAAAATGTTAGTGGCAAAAATTATTTCAGCTGCCCAACTAGCAGTTTTGATGACAGGAATTTCAACTATATCTCCAATGCAATAGAAATTTTTAATTGTGTCTTGAGCATTAGATAATTGTAGATGTTCATTAGTTAACAAATTTCCTTTTTCAGAGACGTATTCTTCTTGTATTTCCTTAGAGAGCATACTTATATTGTTATTTTTTGCCACTACTCCAATAATTAAATTGAGATTCAATAATTCTGCCATCAACAGTTGCTAAGTTACCATCAGCTAATTCTTCTTCAATCCTAGTTTCAAGATAAATATTTATTCCCGCATCTTTCAAAGCTGAATGAACATATTCTTTGAATTTTTCATAAAGTAGTTCTGTTGGAAACAACGAATATAGATGAATCAAATTAACAGTTTTTTCTGGGTAATAGTGTTTTATTTCAGCAGCAATCTCAATTCCCACAGCACCAGTCCCAATAACCGATATCTTGTCTGATTTTTCAACTTTCTTTTTAAATTCACTTGCATTTACAAATGAATTCATATCTAAAGATTTTGGGGACATAGGAGGAGATCTATGTCTACTTAATTAAATTTAAGGGAATAAGTTTTAAGCGTCTTTTCCATTTGGTATTCAGAAGTCTTTTTATTCAATTTTGTAACCTTGGCTTGAATATAGTTTAATTCCAAGTCAAGTTTGCTATTTATAGTTGTTCCTCTAGTCCTATTCTCGTTTTCAAAAATGTTATCGAATTTAATACCCTTGAGTCGATTAAAAGCAAAGTACTGAGATTTTGCAAAATCAATATCAAGGAGAGCACGAGGCATTCCAATGATGTTTAAAAATCCACCTTTAGGCTCAATCATTGTAATGGAAAATTTCCTTCCATTAGATTGCGAGGGAAAGGAATTCACCTTGAATTATTGAGGTAAAATTATTGATAAATGATAAAACAGCATAGGAATCACCAACTACCATATATTAGAAAACTTTCCAGGTATATGACCAATTTTGGAAGTTGAAGTATTATTCATAGTCATAGTTGTATTTCCTTTAATCGAATGTTTTTTAAAATTGGGAATATGACGTTAAATAGTTCTTTATAGTTTTTGCACTTAGTTGGAAAGCTGGTCTATCCGACCTTCGGATGTCGGGGCCATCGGATATGTGGAGACATCAAATACTAAAAAGAATGCAGCACAGATTTAACAGATTACCGGATATATAGATTACGACTTTAAGTTCAACCGCAAAAGAAAGCAAAAATATTTGATGTGTTAGACATTCTCTGTAAAACTTTGAACTGAAGTTGAGCTGTCTTTTACAACACACGATAAATTAATTAGCATTGATGTTAATTTATACCCTTACCATTAAGTTGAATCGTATAAGCAGACAATTTGTCTTGCAGCAAGTATCGAGTATAATTAAGTGCTGTATATTCATCTATCAAAATAAATAGCTTATACTTGTTCAACTATCTGCTCTTACCATGTCTAAACCGTATGCTACCGTTATACAAAGTTTGCGTGTTGTCAAAGTAGAGTAGATTCCACCACTTTTTTTATATATATTTCTTTCGTCTTTATCATTTTGCAATTGATGATGTCTATCTTTACTATCCTAAAAATCTGCTTGTGACTTCATAATCTAAGAATATTATAAGACTTCTTCTCTTTCGTTTTGGTTCAGAAGTACCATTACCATTACGTCATTGAACTTTGTAAGGTAAACAGACCTGCTTAAACTTTTTGTATAGTGGTGAAGAATTTGCTTGCCATTCCTGCTTCAATAATAACAGCTTCTGGAACGCTCTTTATTCACGATCTCAAAGCCCTGCAATGATGAGAATATTTGTTATTCAAATAATTCTTGGCGTGGGACAGATTAATTGAAATTGGTCTTTAATTGGAACTTTGAGATGACGGTTCTATGCATCTCGTCTATAAATACCGGAACGAATTTTATCCGAGTTATTTACAAACGATCGGCATTTAAAAAACAAAAGATAATGCATATGTATACTACGCAAAAATGTTAGCCTTGTTTTGAAAGGCCATGTCAAACCCCATGAAGACTAGAAAATAGAAATATATAAAGACAAAAGTAAGATGTCACTGTTTACGGTCCAAAATTATTTAGTTAATTTAATTAGGAATGATAAAGAAGTTGTTGATTATTGCCACTTTATTTACTACAATTACAAGGGCCAGTCCTATATTCAAAAGAGATTTATCTTCAAATGACAGTAGAACTAGTCATTCGCTTGATGATTTATGCTCCATTTCTCATGTTCGGGAGTCTTTGCCCCTGAATGGGACTTTACTTGGTATTGAAATGATTCCAACCTCTGTGGAAGTTAATATCGCTGAAAGTTCTAATTACAGCTATTGTAACATTTCTGTTTCTTATGCACATACAGGCAAAAACGATGCTATTGTTCTCAACTATGCTTTGCCGGATCCTTCCAACTTCGAGAATAGATTTTACGTTGCTGGTGGAGGTGGTTATAGTCTCAGCAGTTCTTCTACTGGTGGTCTTTCCTATGGCGCTGCAGGTGGTTGCACTGATGCTGGTTACGATGCCTTCAGTACATCATATGATGAGGTGGTTCTTTTTGGTAATGGATCTATTAACTGGGATGCAACTTACATGTTCGCTTACCAAGGATTGGGCGAAATGACTACCATCGGTAAATCACTCACAAGTGTCTTCTACGGAATGTCTGATGATGAAAAGCTTTACACTTACTTTGAAGGTTGTTCCGATGGTGGCCGTGAAGGTATGAGTCAAATACAAAGGTATGGAGAGTTGTATGATGGTGTTGTCGTAGGTGCACCTGCCTTCAGGTATGCTCAACAACAAGTCAATCATGTTTTCCCCTCCATGGTTGAAGAGGATTTGAATTACTTTCCACCTCCATGTGAATTGAGTAAAATTGTCAATGCTACAATTGCTGCCTGTGATTCCCTCGATGGCCGTATAGATGGAGTTATTTCCAGAACAGACCTATGTATGCTTAAGTTTAATTTGAGCTCTATAATTGGAGAACCTTATTATTGTGGAGCTCAAAATAGTACTTCCCTTGGTTTTGGTTTCAGTAAAAGAGCCGAGGGTAGTACTACTTCTTATCAACCAGAGCAAAACGGTACAGTTACTGCCGAGGGAGTCTCTGTTGCTCAAGCAATTTATAAAGGCCTTCACAGTTCTGCTGGCCAAAGAGCCTATCTTTCGTGGCAAATTGGTTCCGAACTTAGTGATGCTGAAACTAAATATAGTGAAGATTCAGGATCTTGGGAGCTTAATATCCCATCTACTGGGGGGGAATACGTTACAAAATTTATTCAGTTATTAAATATTGATAATCTTTCATCTCTCGATAACATTACTTATGACACTTTAGTTGACTGGATGTCCACCGGTTACTATAGATACTTGGATTCTTTGCAAACTATATTACCTGACTTAACCTCATTTTACTCTAATGGAGGAAAATTGTTACACTATCACGGTGAATCTGATCCAAGCGTTCCTGCGGCTTCTTCAGTTCATTACTGGCAAAGTGTTCGTTCTATTATGTACAATGAAATATCTTTCAACGAATCACTTACTGCCCTTGACAACTGGTATCAATTTTATTTAGTACCTGGTGCTGCTCATTGTGGTGTAAACAGCTTGCAACCTGGCCCATATCCAGAATCTAATATGGAAACCATTATAGGTTGGGTTGAAAAGGGTAAGAAACCTTCCGGTCTTAATTCAACTGTCTCTTCTGGCGACTATGAAGGAGAATCTCAACTTCTTTGCAAATGGCCACTTCGTCCAGTTTGGAAAAGTAATTCCAGTTATGACTGTGTTTATGACCAGGTATCATATGATTCTTGGACATACACTTTTGATGCCTTCAAAGTTCCAATTTTCTGATTCTGCTTCTTAATTTTTTCTATTTTCATCTTCGTTAATTTAAATTAATAGACGTTAACTATTTCTAACTCTTCAAGAGTATTGAAAACTACGTCTTTTTTCTTCGCTTTCTTTTTATGCACGTTACATATTAACATTTTCTAGTTTGTTCTTAGTATCATATGCTTGAAACAAATTCTTTAGAAAAATAAGGCTATTGTAGATATTTAAGAAATTCCGTATGTTACAGTCTCCGAATCATTAACGTACTAGTAGATTCATTTTTTCATTCATTTTGTCATCCGCAAGATTTAAAGAATCCACAGAATATCTCTTTAAATGCTGCAGTAATCAATATATTGCTGGTATAAACAGAGGATGTATAGGTGGCACAGTGCTTAGAAATACGATCCTTGTGCTTTGTTCAATCTTATTTTATATTCTAAAGTATATTCCAGGGTCATTGTTATGCACTGATATTCACGGGGTCGTCACATGCGACATCCTTACACTCTTCGCCAGATAATACATTCATGACATGTTATTTAGATAATTGAAGTAGTTTTTCGTTGTTCGTCTTTTATTTTTTAATCTGTTATCCTACTTTGATCATTACATGTAACGAAAAAAGCGTGAATGTAAAATCGCATGTAACGTTCTGCAGGTTATCTCGGACTTCTCTACTGTTGTTCAAAACCTGCATAAGGCTAGGAACAAAAATCTGAACGTGTATTACCCTGTTTGTATTGTTCTAGAGGAATTCATTAAATACCATCCCGATATCCTTCAATCGCAGGGAGCAGGGAATTTATTTCTACCACCGCTATCATAATCTCTAGACCCAGTTTAATAACAACGGGCACACTCTGGATACGCATCTTCGACAACTCATAAATCTCTTCGTAACTGTTGCGAGTATTAACCCGACAGAAGTTTACTAAGATAGGAATAGAATCAGAAAAACGGGAAGAAACCAAACACAATGGGGACTACAATACACACGGCCAAGGATGTAATTTCTGCCCTCAACCTTTCACCCCATCCAGAGAAGGGCTACTACATCGAGACGTTCCGAGACCCACAGACATCGTCTGACGGTCGCGCACCCAGCACCTATATCTACTACCTCCTTGAGGGTGATAGTGGTATGTCGCACTGGCACCGCGTGCTCGACGCTGTCGAAGTTTGGAATTATTATGCGGGTGCGCCGTTGCAGCTCTCGCTATCTTGGAATGATGGAAACCCCGTCCGCGATATGGTTCTTGGCCCAGACATTTGGACGGGAGAGAGACCACAGGTGGTTGTTGAGCGTGGAGAATGGCAACATGCGCAATCCTTAGGGGACTGGACGCTTGTAGGTTGCTCTGTCGCGCCAGGCTTTGAGTTTGAGAGCTTTGAAATGGCTAGCCCAGGCTGGGAGCCAAAGGGTGTAGCAGAGTAGAATCTGGCCAATATGAATTAGTGACTTGGCGCATGCAACCCAAAGATACCCTATTGAGAATGTAATAGTTGAGATCACCCCAGCTCGTATCTAAATGAGTATGGTTGTTACTGGAAATGGGCATATTTCAGTTGAATGAATTCGAAAAGTTTCAGGAAAATTTGAAAATTCAAGAGTCTCATTAAGCTGAGATACCTTGCAACTTTAATTTCAGTTATTCCAGATACGTAATACTGAAAATATACGAGCTTTTCTCAGAGGGTTTAGAAATCGTGCTTTTGGTTATTTGCTGATTATTTATATTTATTCATAATATTTTCACAATATTGTCTGATATTTTATTTCCTTATAATTCTTTTCTCAATTCAGCAAATTTTTGTTTTAGTTTACCTTTGTAAATTGTTTGTGCTTTAATTGATTTTCTTAATATATATCCTGGTTATTTTACTTCAAACGATTAGTTCCACCTTTTATTCATAAAACATCCATAAACCAAAATATTTGAACTCGCAATACTAATTGAATAATTTATAAGTCTGATTAGGATCCAAATAGTTTTCTAGAGTTCACTACTGACTCCTCAAATCTAATTTTTTCTGTGTCGAATGATGAATTTCCAATTGCATAATTAAGGTTACTGTATAGATCTGCTGTAGTTACTTCCTTCCATAAGAGTGAAGATATACGCATTTTTCTATCTTGCTGTCCTTTTGTTCACTTAAGAGAGCTTTCGAATATCTAGCCAGAGATTCCTCTTCCTACTTGACTAAAGCTGAACTTGCTGCAGTCGGCAACTTCGATTTAATGACTAATCCCTTATAATAGAACAGATTAACAGAAGTACATATATAAAAATTGAAGTCTACTATTTAAATTGTTGTAATATAGTCTGGGTTCCATTATTATTGCAAAAATTGCTGATCAATATCGAAAGATATAGGCCATAACATCTCATGCAATTGGTTTAATTGAGATAATGGACTTTCGTCAGTACCTAAAGTTGAATAAGATGGAATAATATTATTATCATTATTAGTTTCGTGTGCTTGGTTCGTAAGGTGTGTTTCGCCTAAAATACTGATAAGATCCAAAATCTTACTAGCAGCAGGGCAGATTTTTGTTAACTTCTGAATAATATTTTGCGCGGAAATTATATCAGACCTCCAATATTCTGCAGATTCTGAAATTGGGTCATTTCGGAGACAAACTAAGGGCATTAAAACTGCAGGAATCAAAAAATATAAAGAGTACCAGACTTCCATTCTGTTGTATCTCGTATTTTCTTCCCAAAATTTTGCCATACTGGTAATCGTTTCACTACATTCTTTTAAGCATAAATTTGCAGCTTGTGATTCATAAGTATCTTCATTATCTGCATTTAACTTTTTTGGATCTAAAATAACTCTTTTCAACAAAAAAGTACGAAACATTATAATCTTCAAATTTCTGTACCTCCATTCAAGTACGAAAAGCGCAAGTTTGAATCTTAAAGAAACGTGAGCTTCTTTTTTAAAGTAATTAGGTATTAATTTTCGCCATCTTTCAAGATAAAGCTTGTCCCAATCCAATAATAGTTGTGCAGATGGGAACGGATCGGTTATGATTCTTTCATAAATACTATTGGTTAGCAAATGAAATAAAGACTGTAGTCTAACACTTGTAAAAATAGTTGGTTGTTCTTCTTCATCGGGAAACTTAACACTAAGAGCAGTCAAGTTTGAATCCAATATATTTAATGGCAACCTTGTATCAATTCCAGAACATGGAATACCTAATGGCCTTCCATAGCCAATTGTTTGGCCACAATCAAATATATATAAACACCACCAAATTCTTCTTCTCATTTCTTGATCCAAAATAGATTCATTTGAGTCATCTATTTGTTTATGTAATCTAAGTCCTAATGCCATTCTGACAGCTAATCCTAAATAATTATATCCAGAATTAGGTCGATCCCTCTTTTGCAAATAATTAGACATTAAGGTTAACGTCTGTACCAAAGTGATATTACCAGTTTCTAAAACATCTATTGATAGCTTAGATTTTGCCATGTCAAAAAGTTCCAAATCTTCACTTTCTTGTTGTGAAGTTGCTGACATAAACGAGCCAATTGCAGCAACAATGTAATATAAGCTTTCCCAATCCGGCTCCGGCCGTGGAATTATTTCGTTCAATTGAGCCATGAAAGTAGGTTTATGAATGATAGGATATGAAATGTGATAAGTTTCAAAATATTGTTCAATATAATTTTCTATCCTCTGCTTGCTTAATTTTTGTTGAGAATATTCAGAGCCATTTCGTATGGCATTTTTATGCCCCTCTATTCTTGTATCGTGTAAAAAAAATCCATTACCAACCAAATTAATAACAGCCGAGCTAAATACAGTTCCAAGATAACCACTTTCTTCTGTTGTAGCCTTTCCATCAATAACTGAAGGTTGCGTTTTCGCATCGTATCGATTCCTTTCATCCCAATTAAAATTTGAGCTAATTGATGCTGGTTGTAACTTCATACCTTTAAAATACTTCCTTCGAAACTGACGATCATTGGGATTTATTTCATCAACATTAACGCTTGATGGTAAAAGCTGAGGTATTTGAAAATCTCCTTCCCCCACCATAATTCCATATTGTTGTAAGTTACCTTTTTGATACATATCTAAATTATTTCGTTTATCATAAACTGAGTTATCATCAGTTAAAAGCGATTCTATATTAATGGTCCCTGAAGTTTGTGGAGTTATTAGATTATTCATTCTTTGATTGCCCGTTGTTCGATCTAAGTTATTTCTGTCACAATCAGGACCTTCATTTACAAGTTTCTTTCTTTTGCGTGGAACTTTATCCAAATATGTAGTAAATTCGGGAATATCACTAATGTTAGATCCATTCCTCACTTTCAGTAATAAGCTTGAGAGTTCAACATCAGAAATATAGTTCATCAACAATTGTTTCACAATATTCAATTCTTCTTCAACTTCAGTTAAATGTTTCCTAGTTAAAGGAGTTTTGCAATGTTTCTCATACAAACAATGCCTTTTATACTTTAAACACGAGGCACATACAGGTACTTCTCTTGAACATTTCATTCTTCTCCTCTTACATTCGTTACATGAGAATTTATTAGAATCTGTCAGCAGACTATCCGCAGAAGTTGCTACAGACTTAGTAGACGGAGTTGTCATAAAGATATTGTATTGTAAAAAAATAACTATGCAAAGTATTAGTAATAAAATAACTATTCAAATAGTATTATGGTAATTCAGATCGATAGTGACATTAGCCTAACAGGCTATATTTACACCTAAGAATCATATATTTTATATGTAGTGGAGAGAAAACATCCTTGATTTCAAAAAATAAGGTTACCCGGATGTATTACGATTAGATATCAGAACCAATTCCTATACACTATGAAGCAATCGGACAACATATATACACTACAAGTTGATGAAGACGAACAGGGGATAGCTTAGCTCAACACTGGGTCATGTTAGCAGCTGGTTTGATGATTGAGAAATGACTACACAGCCAGGCTTAATACCTCCCAAAAGTAATATATAATATTCATTAACTAGATATCAAGGAGTTTGTTGACTTGTAAATTAACATGAGCTTTCTATATGACCATTTAAAGCAATTTGATACAAAATGAAATCGAATGCAAAATTTTCATACAAACTTTAAAAAAACAGAGTCCAAAATAAGAGCAAGACATGGCATTCGAGGTATATCAATGATAAGAAACATGAAGTCCAAAATATCTAGATAGATATAGTAGCTACTACATTTGTAAAGTCTTTTAAATCGCTGCCTTGATTAGCGACCTATATGAAAGTCTAGGTATCGCTTGTAGATTTGAGGAACACAAAAATAAAGGGTTTATTCTCCGAATAATATCATCGCCATCTAACGCTCTATTAAACGAGAAACTTTTTTTTACATTTTGAAAGTACAAATTTAGTAGTCTTTTCGTTTATTTGTACGAAACAGATCTAATTAGTCATCATATAAGCATCTAATAAGAAACTTCAATGATAGTCGTTCACTTCTTAATTTCCGATACAATTCTATGCCTCTGAGCTTTTTGCAGTTCACTTTGAATTCTATTCAATACATCACCTTCATATTCTGCCTTCTCACTACCATAAACGTATTCATGGCCACTCTGTAAGGCATACCATGCTCTTTCAGCCACGTCTCTTGCATCATCTTTCTCACCAGCTCCAATCAAACTTTCAGCAAGGCCAGCATTTTTGAAAAAATTTGTTTCTGTTGCCCCTGGCATAAGAAGAGTCATATCTACACCTTTCCCTTTAAGCTCGTTCCGAACAGCCCAGAAAAACGAATTCACAAATGCCTTTGTAGCTCCATAGACAGCTTCATAAGGAATAGGAGTTGTTCCAGAGAGAGATGATGTCATTAAAACCTTCCCCCCACCTCTTTCAATCAACCTGGGAATAAATATTTTCGATAAATGGACATAGGAATCAACATTCAATCGAATAATTTCTAATTCCTTTTCCAATTTGCTGTTTTCTATGAAGTCACCTCCTAATCCTTGTCCAGCATTAATCACTAGAGTATCAATGTTCCAATTATTACTCTCAACCTCCGCATGAATTCTTTTGATTTCATTGAAATCACTTAAATCTGCTGTCAACAAGTGAACTTCAGAACCATAATTTTGCAATTCCTCCTTCAAAATTTCCAATTTGTCCTTATTCCTAGCAACAGCAATAATGCCATAATTATTTTTAGCGAATATACGTGCTAATTCTAAACCAATTCCGTTTGATGCACCTGTAATCAATGCAAACTTACTTTTGTCAGCCATAGTCTTATCCATACTAATAATCTTATCGACGTTAAGTATATATTTAGCATGTTCATAGCCTAGTTTATATACTTTCATCAAAAGTATTGCTTAGTAATTATGCATTTGTCTAAACTACATTAGGTAATGCATGCGAAGGTTGCTACAAAATACCAAGTACTGCAAAATGGTGCGACTCAGCTATATTGGGTCTACTGTCAACCTTTTTTTCAATTTTTACATTGAAATGGGTCATAACATAACGTAGAATTTCTCTAAATCTGGGTTACGAAATTTACCTTTTCTCAGGAAAATCTATTTAAGAATACCTTCACCTTGGTAAGAAGCTGGATACAGTCAGACCTCGAAATACAAGTATTGCAAGCGACGATTTGTAGCTAAACAATAAAAGAAGCAGCCAGAAAACTTAGTATCGTCAAGACTATTCAGCAATCATCCTATTTTCATAACCAGGTTTTCAATAATCCACTATTACAATGAGCCACTGATATCAGCTCATTAATTAATTTTTCTACGCTAATGAAAGTACGAGAAAGTTATTGAGGGTAGCTCTCAACCTTAAGAATATTCCCATTGAAGCAAATGTTAGAAAATTTAAAAATCTTGTCACAGATAAGTATTTTAAGCTAAGTTTCTATCTGTTATATTTTCTATTATTTTTTTGGAGCTGTTTTAGAAGTTTTTTTTAGTTTCTTCAACAAATTTTGAGTCCTTAATCCTTATGATTTGAAGGTAAATCGTTACGTATAAATTTCTATACGGATTTTGATAAATTATGTATTAAAGAATTCACTTTATTTTTTAAAGTTCGTAGAAAGAAAACAGTTAAACATTTAGCAATACTTACAAGCAAGATCTACAAATTATGTATAACATACTGGCTTCTACTGTTCAATGTTATCAGAAATTAAAAGCTACTACCAAGAGCATTCCAAAGAAAGTTATTTGCTGAAGTAGAAAATTGCAATAGAGGGTGAATCTGAATCAGCGGTTAGAAAATTTAAACTAAACGTTTGTACTCTTTGCTTCGATCATTCCTCATAGACAAATATCAATCCTCATTTTAAAGCAGATTACAGGGTAATTCATATTAAAAAATGGTTTTTTTTAATTGGGAATAGAAGTCGAGTAAATCGGGAGCCATCTTCCATAGATGTATCCTAGGCATCGGTACAAGTTTCATCCTATATTCTACGAAAATATATATTATACAAAGCTAGACCTATTCTGGACCACTGATGATACATTTGTGACAGTTATTTCCTCCTTTAATAAGGTCATAGGCATCGATAGCTTCATCGAATTTAAATCTATGGGCTATCAAGCTTTCAAAGTCAATAGCCGCGTTTTCTTTACCATTTCTATGGTTTTCATCCAAAATAGCTACACTAGTCTTGTAATCATTGAAGCCGTATCTAAATGACCCAAATAAATTCAATTCTTTAGTAGTAAACTCTCTCATTGGGAAAGAAACAGGCTTTGAAGAGTTACCAATTTGAATATGGCGTCCACCAACTCTCAAAATATCAATGGAACTTTTAATGCATGGTTCTGCACCATTACATTCCATCTTTAGTAGTAAACTCTCTCATTGGGAAAGAAACAGGCTTTGAAGAGTTACCAATTTGAATATGGCGTCCACCAACTCTCAAAATATCAATGGAACTTTTAATGCATGGTTCTGCACCATTACATTCCATTACGACAGAAGGTTCAGTATTGTCAAATGCAGCAATTAAATCCTTGTTGCTGCCAGATTTAGGGTTAAAGGTGTGGGTTGCAACTCCAATTTCTCTAGCCATTTCCAATTTTGAATCGAAAACATCTACCACCATGACTTTGGTTCCCCAAACTTAGTATCTACTGCAGCAGCTAATAAACCAACTGGACCAGCACCAAATACAACAACTGCATCACCGAACTTAATAGAGCCCAATTTTGCGGCATGGACTCCAACAGTCAATGGTTCCACTAATGCTCCTAATTCTAATGAAACATGATCAGGTAATTTGGCCAAGAAATCTTGAGGGCTTTTGTAGTATTTACATAAAGTACCAGGAGGAATAACGCCTCCATCTTCTGGGTTAGTAGTAGCAGCGAAAACCTTGTGGGGACATAAATTGTAATGTCCACTTTTGTATTTTCACTAGTCTAGGTGGCATACATGGCTCTATTGCAACCTTGTCTCCAACCTTTAAAGAAGTAACTCCTTTTCCAACTGCAGAAACAACTCCCGAAGTTTCATGGCCTAAAACGGCGATCTCAAACCAAAGTTTTCAATTGCTCCATATGTGTAGTAGTGAATATCTGAACCGCAGATACCAGTCTTTTTAACCTCGACTATGACATCAGTAGGCTGGGTGATTTCTGGGGCATCATATGATTCAAACGTGATATCGTTGATCTTATTTAAAACTAAGGATAGGTTTGGTGTCATTTTCGTTTGCTTGATATTATTATAGGTTATAAATTGACTACTATCCATGGTTTAAATATGAATAATAGTATACATACAAGTATCTAAGCTTTGTGTGTCATACATTATTGTTCTGTCAATTAGACGCTTCCGCGGAAGGTTAAAAACAATGCGCGTGGCATAATGCACCGGGGCGACTGTCTCCCTAAAAGTATTCTCTTAAATATTTTGCAAACTTAAGATCTACAAATCTTATAGAGGCTTCAAAAGTTCACCTTTTATTGCAGTCAGATATATACAGTAGAATACAGAAAAAAAGTGAATACGTTAGTCACTTGTACCTATCTTTCAACCTTTGCATCTACACTATATGATGTTGAAAGTAACTGGAAAGAAGAATAAATACATTATATACAGAACCAGAGAATTCAGGATATCTGCGTTTATAGAAATACTTAGAACTTTTGTATTGATCTAATATACATTAGGTATTCTCCTATCCTTATTTTCAATTTTTATTAAACCATCCGGCTTTTGAAACTCTAAAGCTTACAATGTTTCAAATTACTAAACTTTCGTTTTTTGCAGTAAATTGGAGGTTCTATTACTATTATATACTATTATATATCTTCTTCATGTATAACCCTAGATTTATCATTCCATTTGAGATTTGTAACGGCCATTCTTCTATGTATGTACAATGGTTTCAATGATACAACATCCTTCTTTAAAACATGTTTTTTGAACCCATGAATAAGTTCTTTAGTACGAAAGTTAGCATGTTTTCTAAGAGACACTGAAAATACATCGTCTAATTCCTCCAATGTCAAACCCTTTGTTTCTGGAAGAAACCATAGAACAAGGAAAAAACCAACAATGTTCCAAGCTGCATACCATCCAAATGCACCTTGTGACTTAAATGCATTTTTAAGGCGGGGCCATGTAAAAGCCAATATGAAGTTAAAAAACCAGCAAGTCGAAGTAGCAAATCCCATACCTAGATCACGAATGTATAAGGGAAATGCTTCTGCTGAATATGTGAATGGAATTGGTCCTTCACCAAAATTGTAAAAAATTGCAAACAAATAAATACCAATTGTTATACAAGCTAAGCGACCATCTCTGCTTGTATCCTCAGAAATCCAGAACCCAAAACCGGCCATTAGTAGAGAAAGAGACATCAACGGAAATGTTGCAAGCAACAAATTTCTACGACCAACACTGTCAATGGTGTAGAAAGTGGGTATACATGAGACAACCTCAACCATTCCAAATCCCCAAGAAGCTAACATAGCTTTGATTTCAGAAAGATCTGATTCAACAAAAATAGATGACGAGTAGTAAGATATAACGTTAATACCACAAAATTGTTGCATGAACATAACAATCCATGCTCCAAGGGCGGCATTCCTGTTTCTCCTTACAGAAAACATCTCAATTACTCTTTTGTAGAAACTAACTCCTACATAGGAACCTTCTTCATTCAACAAAACATATTGGTAAAAACAGTCACGAGCAGCTTCAATTTCACTATGCCTTAGAATTTTCAATGAATCGAAAGCATCCCTATGCTTATGTTTACCCATTAGCCAACGAGGAGATTCTGGTACGTAGGGTATTTGAATTAGTACAAAAATTGCAGGAATGCAAGCAGACGCTAATGTTAACCTCCAATTTATTCCACCTGAAATACCATGGTCTCCTACATAGTAAAAGGCCAATGATGAGACATAACCCAACATAACTCCCACACAGGTGAATAGTTGCCAAAGCATAACAAGGGCACCTCTTATATGAGCCGGAGCCGTTTCTGCTGTATATGCAGGAACTGTTGCAGTCATTATACCCATACCGAATCCCATGAAAAAGCGGGCAATGAATAAATGGAACCATTTCAAGTTAACAAGCCCTTGCCAAATACAGGACAATGCCGTAATTACACAAGACCAAAATATACACCACTTCCTACCCAATTTTCTATTCCAATAATCAGAAGTCCAACACACAATAGAGGAGCAAAGGTACGGAGCACCATTAACCAAGCCCTCGATCAAATCATAGTTTTTCATGCTAGGGATCCCCATAGCCAGTGGAAAGAATAGGTTAGCTCCGTTCACCACTGACTCATCCATTCCTTGGACACATGCTGCCATGGAGCCCAAAGCAACAACTTCTAACAATTTCCGTGGGATGTGCCATTTTTTTCGACTCTCAATCTCAAGTGCCAGCTTTTCCCTTTCGCTCAAAAATTTCATGGATCTGAAACCCGTTGGAAACCTTGCCACTGCTGCAGCTCTAGAAAAAAGCTCAGGATTTAAGCCATGCTCCATAGCGTATTTTCTGCCCATACCCATCACCTGCTCCTCCGAGTATTGGGTCAAAATATTACCCTCTTCATATTGAGGTTCGTCATCACCTTTAATGACTCCATTCAAGCTTTCTTTGGAATTGCTAATAAAAATTGTCTCAGAGATTTGTCCCTCTTCGTTGCTTTTCATTATCACAGATACTTAGCAAAATGGAGTTTGTGATACGAGGATTTCGTAGATTTAAATATGAGACTTTTTAAAGTTTCTGCATTCTGTTTTTACATTTTGCGGACTGTTAACCGAAACTGAAATTGCTATATTATTACATGATTTGCTGTTATCCTTACTATTTTCTCCGTCAAGTTGAATACATGCCGAGACTTAATGATAAGACTATCAATACTCATTCAAAATTTGTACATAATAAAAGTGGGGTTTTGTGGGGTTGTAAAGTTATCAGTGATCTACTTCGGATTTGACTTATCTTATTGCATATAAAATAATTTGTAACCTTTTAGCGGTATAGAGTGCACCTTTTTTTTTCTGCAAGTCTCATTTAATATACAGGTTGAATATATTTATTGCCATAAAAAAAGACGCAATGTACAGAGACTACCTGATTATTGATTCTTCTTAAAAAACTGCAACTTGAATCTATGAATTTTAATTTCTGAAAGAGGCAAAAGCCAAAGAGCTAAAAGTATTGCAGGATTATTCGCATATACTAGTAAGCGTTTTTAAAATAATTTTACTATAAGATGTTTTATTCGAGGACCTAACTAAATTATAAAAGATGTAATTATATTTACTTCAAGATTAATTTCTCTGTAATATAATTACAGGCAATATAAATTGATAAAATAATCCAATATTATGAGCTTTTTCCCTCTTTCTCTTCTTTTAACTGAACATAGCTTACAAAGATGTAATATTTTAAAACAGAATCTAAGATAATAAAACACTCTAAAATAATATTTATGCATATAAAAAATTATTCTAAATCTTCAATAAGAACTTTCATTGCTCCAGATTTTGGATTTCCTGCAATTTTGAAAGCTTCAGCTGCATCTTCGAGTTTAAACCTATGAGTAACTAAGTTATCTAATTTGATGATCCCTGCTTCTACCAATTTAATAACAGTGGGCCATGTATTAGCATATCTGTATTGGAAGGTAATATTAATTTCCTTCACAGATAAGAGCATAAATGGAAATGTTTGGTGGTTTTTTCCGACACCAATAATATGCAATTTTGCACCAAAATCAAGAGCATGTGTGGCAAGTTCAAGAGAAGATTCGACTCCGGTACATTCAATTGCTACATCAAATGAATTTGTACCATTTCCTGTTACCTTTTGCACATTTTCTTCTAAAGAGCCATTAACAAGCGCAGTGCTAGCACTTGGAATTTCCTTTTTGATAAAATCAAGCTTCGATGGTTCAATATCAGTTACCATAATAGGATAAGCTCCTGCTGCTTCTGCTGCCTTTGCGGTTGCGAAACCAATAGGGCCAGCTCCACAAATGAGAACTGATTGACCTAGTCTAAGATTGATATGTCTAATTCCACAAAACACAACTGAAAGAGGCTCCAAAAGAGCACCTTGCAGATAACCAAGTGAGTTGATTTTATGGCAAAATGCAGCAGGATGTTTGATGTATCTTCTTAAAAAACCATGGACAGGAGGTGTCGAGCAAAATTCCACATTCTCGCATCCATTATATTTACCTGTCAAACAAGGGTTGCAAGTATGGCACGGAACTCCTGGTTCAAGGGCTACCTTGTCCCCTACCTTCAAATCTGTGACCTTTTTACCAATAGCTAAAACCTCCCCTGCCGATTCATGTCCCAAAATGTGTTCGCTCTCAACGACCATGGTTGGTCCTATACAACCATGCTTCTGAAAATGAATATCAGAACCGCAGATTCCAGTGCTTCTAACGTGGATCAATACTTCCTCGTCTAAAAGATCCTCAACACCAGGTGTCTCAATTTCAGATACATAAAGATCGTGCTTAGGGTTGGTGAAAACTCCAATGTTTTTTTCGGATACCATCTTATTTATTTTTTGTATGATAATAAAAAATCTTTGTAAACCTGGCATTCACAATGATTTAAATAAGTGCAGGGAAATCTTGCAAGTAGGTAAATTCAACTTCAAAGACCCGAATACCGGGAAATCTATCGGAGTTTGAAAAGGTTCTCATCAGTTACTAGACTCATAATCGCCTTAGAATAGCTACTCTAGACCTACTTGCTGTGACTAATTTTACAACTGAGAATAAAGTGTGCGATAATGCAAGTATTCCAGGGTGATGCTTTCCGCCCGAACAGGACACAGTCAACCTTTTCACTGCGAGCGCGCGCAATTTTTTATTGCCATGCGCCCCTGGAATAGGAGGACTGTCAACCTGTTGATTGTTTCAAAATTCTTTGAAAAATTCTTTGAAGCTGCGAAAGCATCTGTCTGAACGATATAAGCTATGGTATTAAAGTTATTTCCTCATATACTATACCTCAAAATATTCAGACTTATCAAATTGAGATTACCTATTCAAATGCTGCTATCAATAAATGGTAAAAATTCTATCTCTTAATTATGGGTCCACTATCGAACTACATAATTAGTAGTCTACTTTGTTTATGGAGAATTTATATTTTTATTCGCGGCATGTAATACCGATACTATGAGTATGCTAATAATTCGGTGAAATTGCCGGAAATTTAAATAAAATCCCCCTGCACACCAATTGTATAATAGTATAAATATGAAAGATGGTATGTGCTTGATGAAACAGATAATATTTTTAATTTATTATAAAAATGCTTTTCCAGAATAAAGAATCTCCAGTATTGGAACAATTCTCCTTAAATGGAAAAGTTTCTTTGATTACAGGCGGTCTGAGAGGTATTGGTTTGGCTGCCGCAAAAGGCTTAGCAGAAGCTGGATCCCAAATTGCAATTACTTACAATACATCGGGAAGAGATTATATAGCTGAAATTGAGAAGCAATTTTTTGACTTAGGAGTTAAATTTAAAGCTTATCAGTGTAATGTGTCTGAAAAAGAACAAATAATTAAATGCGTTAACCAGGTTCTTGCAGATTTCAAAAGATTGGATGTTGTGGTACCAAATTCTGGTATTACTTCTCAAGCGCCAGCTGAAGACTTCAGTGAGGAAGCATATAGGAACACTATGGCTGTTAACTTGGATGGTGCCTTCTTTACGGCTCAAGCTGCAGCCAATTCTTTTAAAAAGCAAAAAAAAGAGGGTAAATTAGACCAAGGAAGAATTATATTCACAGCTTCAGTCTCTTCTCTAGTGGTCAATATCCCTCAAAATCAAGCTCCATATAATGCTTCAAAAGCTGGCTTAGTAAGATTAGCAAAATGTCTTTCCGTTGAATGGGTCGATTTTGCACGTGTTAATTGCGTATCACCGGGATTTATTACTACAGATATGCTTCATTCTTTACCAAGCGAATGGAGAGATTCGTGGTTGTCAATGGTTCCAGCTCAAAGATTCTGCTTGCCTTACGAATTAAAAGGTGTTTATGTTTTTTTAGCTAGTGATGCTTCTTCTTACATAACAGGCGATGAACTTGTTGTAGGTGGCGGTTATACTTTAACTTAAGATTACAACACTTGAGGCCCAATTCTTTTCTTATTTGGTAAGTTGCATTGAAGTATCGCAGGTGGTATCGTTATCCATTTGATTAATTTTTTAGTATATATAATGGGTCAGCCCCCGCGAATATATACCGAATTTGTTTATTCAATTATCTGTCTTATTCAAGCTTCCATTACATGAATACTTCCTGTTTATGATCTATGGTGTTACTTAACTCATTAATAGTGACATCGTCAATTTTGTACGTAATCTTCGCATTTTGAGAACCCCACAAAATCACAAAACTTCCTACAATGAGAATTCTGAAACATATATTTATTTATGCTAAGCTTATTCGATTTCCTATAAATTGATGGAATTTCTATACCCTGCAATTGGGTAGAAGCGTGACAATCCCATACAAAAAACTGGAATCGTGGTTTTATTTACTTTTGAAAGCTCCATGACGACATGGCTCCTTTGAAACCCAGACAAATAAACATAAAATTGCTTGATATACAAGATATCAATGAATGCAATTTTAAATTGTATAAATACTTAAATTATGCTAGTCTCGAACTCGAAAAGATGGGTCAACTCAAAATCGTAAACTGTCTTTTTTTCGCATTGTAGACTCTCTATGTAAACAACTTCTATTAAAGAAATTTTACCTGAAACAGACACATAAATGTTTGCTAGCCTAACATCATTATGTGAAATTCCTATCAGATGAAGCTCTTTGAGTCTTGACTTGATAACTCTGTAAACTGTTTTGTTGTTCCACTTTTCTTTTGGGACCTCCTTCCCTAGGCATTCAAATATATGCATCGGGTGATCGGAAAATCCGTTCCAATAACCAGAAACAAGGAGTTTTGGAAATTTAGAAGCAAATTCTGATTTAGCAATTTTTGCATTAATTGAAAGCTCATTGAAGAACATACCTTAGTACCCCTTTTTTTCGGGAATCTCCAAACACATCAAACTATTCTCTTCCCACAATCTACTAGAGTAATAGTATAATTTAACAAGAACAGTGGATGGGAGTTTCAAATCAGGATAAAATTCTGCGGGATCGTAGATAACTCGACAATATGTGTTACCATCAATGACATCAAACCTATCACTGACGTCATTTTCTCTTATGAAGTCCAAGTTGCCTGAAAATCCACGTCTCGCTAATTTTCCAGAAGATCCAGAAGCGTCTCTAGGACGAACGTTAAAAAATGGATCCAGCTCTTCAATTTTTTTTATCTCGGTGTTT